ATTTCATTGTATTTTCCAGTTGCATTAACCATCCCGTAGATATGTATGAGAGTCCACATGGAAAAAGCTACCACCGTACTTTCACTGCGCAGCCGTTGTAATCCAGAAGCATGGGATGGCAGCAAAGCAAAAACTTCAGTTGGGTGCTTGGAATTTAGAGACACTTCAGGCCTTAAGAAAGTGAATCATAGAATAGAAAGAATGGAAAGCTGCTCTATCCTACCATTAAAGAAAAGGGATGTTGCTACAGAAATGGGAAATGCTTCCTTTTCACCAAATGGGCCAATAACAGAATGGGGGAGGAGATTTCAGAAAGCTGCAGTGTGATAGCTGGAAGCTGTGTACGTATCCCTTTCCCATCCTAAAGAAACAGGTCTGGGTCATGTTCTTTCAGTGGTACATTTGTTAAAAGAGTTTATTCATTAGCGATTTGAGAGTGACAGAGCTCTGCACGAAGGGTTTGTCTTTATCTACCAGGCTGGGCAAGCAGGCTTAGCTCTGAAGCAGTGAGACAAAGAGGAATCTTGCACCCCTCAATGTAAGGGTCTGGCAAATCCAAAGCTGCAAAAAATTAAGGGGGGAAATGCCTGCAGTGGCCAGAGGAGCTGGATTTGTGTGGAGGGGATTTGCCAGAGAAGGATCACAGAGATCCCCTGCTTTTTTCATCCTCTGCCACAATCTTCCCGTGCGGTCCTGCACAGTGCTTGGAAAACGCTTGCAGTGGGGCGTTCCTGAGCAGTGATTAGTGATGCAGTTAACGAACGCTGGTTTACATCACTTGGGGATAAATCCACCTTCTGACCATCTGTTACAAGTGGATCTGGTTTTCTTCTGATTCACATTCATGCCAAGCAGAATTACCTTCATTTAAATCACTGGTGTTTCTTGGAGAGTAACCGCTATGAAAGAGTTGGTCCGTTGGCAAGATCTCCCAGTGAGTCACGTACTCTGGGTCAGAGATTATGTCTCTCTGGATGTTTTGTTCATTCTTGAACAAGAGGAGTTTCAACAGCTAGCAAGAAGTTAGCTCTTGTTATGAAATGCCCATAGGCCACTCTGAAGCTGTTAATCTTGCAGATACCGGTGATCTGAAAACAGTCCGCTTCACCTACCGTTGTATGTAAAGCAAGTGGATTTGGTCACTCGTGCATATTTTTTTTTTTTTTAAAGTGCTGTCAGATCTCTCACAGGCAGTATTTTCTAATGAATGCAAATGAAAATTGCAATTATCCATTTCAAAGCAATCAGTAGCAAGCCATCGTTGCGCAGAGAACATTATTTATACAGCTCATAAGCCCCAGTGATGCTCGTGCATAATTCCTCACACATCAACCAGGACACAGTGATAGAAACTGCCTTCAGGGCTGGACTTTCCAAGCCAGCCTCTCTGTTTTTAAGTTGCAGACATTGTCACTTCAATGGCTGACTACTTGATTTCGCAGGTTCGGTTTGATGAGCGTATGATAGCAAGCCCACGCTTGCCTGCAGATGCCAGACTGCACCCAAAATGACTTGCTTCTCTTAATAGCAGTGAATAAAGTGACAGGCTGGCAGCTCTTAGGGACTTTTGGTTCTCTCTTCTTATTTTCCAAGTCCTTCTCTACTGCTGCCTGTTCACGGCTCTATTCTCATCCTACTCAGCACTTGCCTCAGTATGAAAACTTGGGGCATATCATGTGTTTACATGTATGATTGCTCTTAACTCAAACTTTATTTCCATGCCTTGCTCAACCTCTAATTCCAGTGCATTGACTCCTGCTTGCTGTTCCCTGCGGGGGTAGTCTTGCTCTCACTGCTCAGTTTGCAGGACTCTTCTTGGGCCTGTTAAAAATGGAATTCACCAAAAGACACAAATTATCTCTTCCTGTCTGTGCTAGGCTCCTAGGGAAAGTGAGAATAATTGTGTCTCTTCCTGCTCTTAATACTGTAGTCGCTACATCCAATAATCATTTGGGAAGTTTAAGTTCTAAAACTGGATAATTTATTACCCCCGTATATTAGCTCTCCTTGGTAGCCGAGAGGTGTGGTGACAATCAAACTGCAGTGAAACTGTGAAAGTAGAAAATGTCCGGCAAGTAACCTCTTTCCGAAAAGACTGTGTTAACGAAAGGACTAATAAAATCTTGTTTAACCATCACTGAAAGACTTTTTGGTAGACAGCCAAGCCTGGCTGGTCTCTTGAGTATAAAAAGTAGTATAGAAATGTTCCTTCTAGCATTATTCGTATCAGCTTCTGATGCTGATCTCCTGTACATCAAAGAGAAATGCTCCTTTATTGCACCATTTTACATTTTAAATCATTTATGCTTGTAGCGCGTTCCACCTACTTCTTGCGACAGCGCCCTCTGCCCTTAGTCCAACTGAAATATCAGCTAGATCGGCTGGTGTTTCATACACACGTGCAGCCTGGTCCCACAGTGGTGAAATGGAGATCTTTCCTTGCTCTTCTATAGGGCTTAGGGGGTTTTGGTCAGGCAGTCCCTTGTTGCTATGCCTGTGTTTCTAGTCCTCCACTGACACATGGGAGGGAGGCTTCTCCCTGTAATCCACTGGTAGCCCCTCAAGGTAAATATCCCATTCTTTTTCTTGTACCGAGGACAGACTCAGCCTAAGGTTGAGTCTCAGCGTTATGGAAATACAAAGCAATCTCCCAGCCAAGCACTGATCAGAAGGTTGTTCTGACACAAACCAAACAGGACAGTGTGAAAATGCTTAAAGCAAGGCCCCATCTAGGGCAATATGTTACGAACTTGTTAATCTGGATCTGTGAAATCCATTTTTTCAGTGAGGAGTGGAGCTTACAGCTTCCAAAGCCAGATCACTACCTGCCTGTTTCTCAGCCTGTGATCCATGTCTCCTACCTAAATTTTAATTCCTTACCCTTATTTTCCAAGTATTATCCTGTACAACAGAGCAAAGGCCTTATTACTTTCTCTTGCACACCATAGCCCATGTGTGCATGGGCTTCTCAAGTTGGATGTGTCTAAGTGTAACCTTTTGCCTATAGGTAAGAGCAAGAGGTTTTTAGGATTTGACACAAGGTTTTGCATTTCTAGCATGACCAGTAGCTGTTTGCTACAATTGTGCATTGAGGCCTCTACAGAAATTGGTAGTCCCATCCCTGACTCTAAAGAGCTTACAAATTAAATGCAGTAACCAGACAACCTCTTTCTCAAACTACTCTTGCTTGAAGTCACATGGAAAAGCAGTAAGTGTGAGGACCAGGGCTTTGCCCCATATCTCTTCAACCACAGCGACCCATCTTGCACACTGGGGCATGATGCTGTTGACTGGCAACTGCTTTCAGTTACATGTCTGTTTCCAGAATAACATCACATTTAAAAAAAAAAAAAGAAAAAAAGTAACTGTTTATCCTAGCTAAGCTTGTGTAACAGGTTTTCATATGATGTTTTTAGCATTTAAAGTCTTTTTTCATTAAACTGTTTCAGTATCCAGAAAAAAACATTTCTCTTACTCAGCTTCATTAGTTATAGGAAATCACTGGATTAAAGTAGAGAGCAGATTAGCAAAAATAAACTGTAGTATGTCTTGGGCATATGGTGCCGTGTATGAATGGGTTTTAACTACTTAACTGCGTATAACAAAGAGCAGAAGGAGAGATTTGTCTTAGCGTGCAATAATTATAATTTGCAGTAGCTGCATAGCTTAACAGTCAGAAACCACAAAGCCACGGAAAGCTTTCGGTTAGGATTTACGTGGGGTGTGTGCGCCTGTCCCCGAGCTCACGTCGCATTTTCTGCCAGCTGACGGCCAGGCAGGAGACTGGACTTAACTAATTAACAGGATGCCTCTCCCTCCTTTCCCTTCCTCTTCGCTGGGCCCATGGTTCGCAGTGCTGGGTTGGTGCGGGACACAGAGACCGGGATTTAACCCATCAGACGTGGGAGGAAGGGCTGGTCCAGGCACGCTGCTCCATCGCATGGGGCCAGAGGGAAGGCACGCCGTGGGCAAGCCCATGACAGCCCGGGCTTCGCCTCAGCTGGAAATTGTCCCCCGCAGAGCTAATACAAACAGAAGTAGTAAATAAAAGAGGCCACAACGTCAGGGTGGTTGCTGGGGAGTATCAGCCTTCAGGCTCTGGGCACAGGCAACACAGTATGACCAGCTTTGAATTCAAATGACTCTGTAGTTTCTAGCTTCCAGCTTTTTTTCACCAGTATTTATCACTCCCCTCTGATACTTCAACCTACAAAAGTCAAATTTATGCCTTTTCTAAAGAGACCCAGCTCACACCGGTTTGAAATTGGTCCTGCGACACAAGTCAGTGCAAGCACAGGTAACATCCTGACAGTGCTCCATCTCCTGCTTCTCAGGAAAACTGTGCTTTTCCATTTGGGTGCTGGTGTCGCCAAGCAGTGGTGGTGACATCATTTCCGTGTCTTTACAAAAACTGCTTATAACGATTTGCAAAGCCAATCAAATCTAATTTTTAAAGTAAATTCGGAAATACCTGGGGAATTACCTGGTCTTTATCTGGGCTCCTCAGTGCGTTTGCTAGCAAGGCTTAACCAATAGTGTTACACCACATAGCTTAAATATGCATGTCCTTCCCTTTTTTTGGGTTTGCTTTCTTCTGAGGTTTCCACAATGTGTTTCACATCCACTGTGAGTAACACTCTTGGACTTTTGCCCTGGATTAATCAAACATAAATCATTGCCCGATGCAAAAAGAAAGATTTGCCAAAAATTGCGGTGGTCCAGAGGAGAATAAAAGAGATATATTTTTCTCCTCTGTGAACTTTTAGCTAATTTTATTCCCCCTTTTTTTTTTTCCAATGCACAATTGTGTGCATTGAAAAATTCACTGACAAGGGCCTTATCGTCTTGTTTTTTTAGTGATTAATACAAAAAATTAAATCCCCAGCCACTCAGGAAAATTTTCTTGCTTTTTCCTCAATTAGTTTTATGGCAGTGAGCCCTGCCAAACTTGTAGGCTTTCTGTTTAGCTTATCAATAACTCAGCATTTCTTCTATTGCAGAGTTCCCTGAAGAGAAGAGGCAGCAGAGAAATGCACAAAGAAAAAAAGGCATTTACCCAGGTACGGCTTTCAAGAACATGCAATTTTGAGCAAAAGCATGTGATAAAACTCCAAATTTCTTTTTACGAGTGTTGACAGGGCCATCAGGCACATTAACTAGAGTGCAATTAGGCCTTAATCTACTGAGACCTCCCAGAGATAATGTAGAAGCAATTTAGGACACAAGTGTGATCTCTAAACCATGCAGCTTCTTGGGCCCGTGGTGCTTGTATCTGTAGATTCAGGCTGCAGGTTTTTTTACAAGAAGTGAAAAATCACCTTGCCTCCCAAAGTAATTGGATCGCAGCTTAGGGACTAACTAAATTTATATGCGGTGCCAAAGATTTTGTGCTAATGAGCATCTTGGCAGGGAATGCGGTTGACACACTGCAACGACACGTCGCGAGCTCTGGTGTCGCAGCCCCCGGTTTGAGCGCTTTCTGGTGTTAAGGGGGTGGTGCAGCACGTGAACTTGTGCTCCCCCAGGCTGAGATGCAGCTCAGAGCCTGAGCTGCCCACACAGTCTCCCTTTGGACACCGGTTTTATTGAAATCCCGTACGCTGATCCTTCTTGGCGAAGCGGTCTGCCCGGTTTCCTCTGCTTTTTGTGCTGACTGTAGGAGTTAAAGCTTTTCCCAGCACCCGTGTGGTTACCGTTTATAGCCAGAGAGATGGGGATAGTGTTTCACCTTGCTGCAAAAAGGAGCCAAGAGCGACATCATGCCTTCATTAGAGAAAGGTTGCACCTCCCCTGCTGCCCTCTCGGCAGGCTCAGCGTATGCAGCTGAGACCCTACGGGTTTGCTCTGAGTCGATGGAGTCTTAAAATCCATTGTTTTATAATAATAACCATAATAAATCATTGCAACACGTTGCACTTGAGTGGGTAGGGCGGCCAGTTGAGTGGGTAGAGTGGGCAGACTGGGGGCTCGTGGTGGCTGGGGGCTGCAGCCTGCTTTCCCGAGACACAGCAGACGGAGCGTCCCCGCCGAGCTGGTACAAGCACGGCTTAATCAGACCTTAAATTGGGGCACTGGGCTTCCTGCCTGCAGTGCCTGCTGCGGAGAATTATTTGAGTCATCAGTCAGGTCAGAGAGTTTCTTTTTCTGCAAGTCTGTAACATACATGGATGAAATCCGTATGCCCGCACACATGCAAATCACAGATGAAGCTATGTGAAGGCACAGTTGTGTCCACCGGGGTTTGTGGGCGGCACTGTCCTTCCTTTCCCCGTTCCTGGAAATACAGAGAGGTGAAGAGGGAATGGATTCCTTGTGCTTGGTTTCTCCACCCAAACCCAGGCATTAACAGCAGCTGTAGTATGCTTTGGAAAGCCTTAAAAAGGACATCACAAAATTATCCGAGTAACCCCAGGTCAGCTCTGCTCCACTCATAACATGGGGAAGCGATCCTGAAAACCACCAGGGAAAAAAAAAACCTTTAAGCTGTACACACACATTGTAACTCGTGCAAGCAATGGATTTGGGCTTGAAATTGAAAACCATTGCGATAGCACTGGTGGCCGTTTAGTTTTCTTCAGAAATTCTTTAGGGTAGGAAAGACTGAGAAACAATCTTACATATTGGCATGGCCCAGCCTATAGGTGCCTGTCCTAGCTATCTCCCAACTCATGGGTGTTGCCCAGAGCTGCTTCCAAATCCAAGTATCCCTTCAGAGGTATGTGCTGGTTGAGACCAGAGCGCACCACAGCAAGTGCCCAACCTGGTCAAACAACCACCGGGTCCTGGGCCATGGCCCAAAGGGCTTGGAACAGACACAGCCCGGGAGCTTCAAAACACTGGTCTTCAGGGACAGCCGCCCTAAATACCTAAAATAAGTTCAAATAACCATTACGTGTTTTGTGAAAAGCAACCACAAACTTAGATTCTATTCTGTGCATCTGCATGCCTACAGATATGTATAGCATATGGCAAGACTGTTTTTTTACTTACTGGAAGCTCATCGTGAAAATTAGCTGGAACATCGCACCCACCTCAGGGCACATGGGGTAAATAATACCTGTGAAACCAATTGTCCTGAAGTCATGTAAAAGCAGAATTCATAGGAACGCTTACCCGCCTCTAGCAGTATTGAAGAAAAAAAGTTTTTATTCAGCAGAATTGCAAAACGGAGCTTCTTGGAAAATACCAGGCACCAGGAAAAACACAAAGAAAAGTGGTTCTCCAGCGCAAGGTAGGAGTGCTGGCACTCAGCCAGATGCTTGGGTGCTGGTCGTACTGCCCTGTCGTCAGACTTGCAACCCTGAAACCGCTTACCCATCTTCTGCCTGGCTGTTCCCCGGAGCTGGTGGTGGTGGTAGAGGAGATGACATTGGTTTCTACCTATCTTTGTGTCTTCTTGCCGGAAAAGAAATATCGTATTTGGGAATTTTTGATCAGCTCTTCATTCTCCTCACATCATTTACATTACATAATGAATTTAAGTTCATTTCTTTCCTTTAAGTTTAATTTCTTTATCTCCACATTCTACATTTGTCTAAATTAGACTGCAGACTCTGTAGAGAGGGATCTGTTTTTTTTCTTTCTGCTTTTTTTTTCCATTAACATCCCTCTAAAGTGTCATGCAGAGCTGTGATGCTATTGCATGCAAACAATCACTATCAGTAATCATTAATTCCCATTTATCCTTAATGATCTCTTAAAATCCGTGACTAGCACCAAGACTGAGAACATTTTCGCATTGTCGTTCCTTCTTTTCTTTCTATACAGTCTGCCCTATGTACACCTTTTAGGAAAGCCTCCAAATAGTGGATGTGAAGTACAGCCAGGCTGTGCCATAGCCCAGCATTCACCCCCCGGGATTCAAGCCTCTTGTTCCTCCAAAACAGTGGAAAGACTGTATTGTCCTTCCCCCCCAACCCTTTTTCTTTTCATTCGTGATTTAACTAATATTGAACTAGTCTTAATTTCAGTAATATGGCCTCTCCTTAGTTTGCCTTCTATGTCAAAACTCTACTTACCTGTGTGGGTGTCTCGCCCTTTTGCTGTTTTTACTTGATTTCAACTGATCAAGAAATCATTGATATTTCTGTACACAAAGTTTCAGGGGGACAGGTGCATGAAGGTTGGAGTCCTACCCTTCTGGCATGCTTAGATCTGGCTGAGAAATCTCTCCTGACCATTCTTTTTCTTTGGAAAAAAGCTGTCCGCGGAATGGGATTTTCAGTAGTCATGTTCCCTGGCATAGAAGCAGGGAACATCTAGAGCTTTCTCACCTTTCCAGATGGGATCCATATTTAGTAGGCGAGATTAACATCCATCAGCTCTGTTGTTTTGTATGAGGCTTGTGTTTGTTTAACAAAAAAAAAACACGTTTGTTTCAGCTCTTGCAAAAACCAGAACTTACAAATGTGATCCTTTTTTTTTCCTAGATAAAAACCTAGCAATAAAGTAATGCCGTTGTAAGAATTTAATGGGGGTTTTGTCCCGCTGTTTGTGCTAACGTGCTAACTCCGCAGACGCATCGAGTCGTGCAGTGATGCTGAGCAAAAACACTGGGGCCCTGACCCCCAAACCCATCGAAGCCCTTCCCTCTTCAAAACGCTGAGCGCGTTGTTCCAAGTGCGACTCAGTGACTGTTATTTGTATTGCTCGGCACGCAGTAGGGGTCAGGCTGGAGCCCCCTCCGACCCCCGGGGAGGAGCTGGCCCCTGGTGCTCCCGGCCAGGGCAGAGGAGTTTGGGCAGCCCGGTCCTTCCCCACCTCCATCGGCCAGGGAGCTGCGAGGTGCCAGTTAGTGCCGCTGGCGGCTGGGCTCTTGCGGCCGAAGGCAGACAAGAAGCACGGGGAAGAATGCTGCATTGCAAAGACAGACTAAGGCAAATGTCAGATGTGATTATTTCCAAGCTATTAACAGATAAATAAATAAAGGGGGGTAATTACCCCACCTGTGAGCTCAGACGTGCAGCACTGCTCTGGATGTAACCGTCCCTGTGATCTTTGTCTTTCCGTAAAAGCAAAGCCTACAGCTGCAGGGATAAACTGATTCTCGATGAGAGGAAAAACAGAGGTAATGTACTGTGCAGCCCTGACCAAACATGATGCTTTAATCATACAGCCATATCCAGCCAGAGCAACCCAAATTCAGAGTGACTCCAGTGGAGGCTGGATGGAGTTTTGCGAGGTTTAAATCGGATACTTAATTTGCAGTTTTGAGTTATGAAGAGAAAAGCAATTTGCTAATACACGCGTGAAAAAGAGGTGTGTGTACGTGAGGAGATGATAGAGAGGAAAGCAAGCCGATCTTCTAGAGGCTCTGCTTCTAATCAATTATGTGCACCTTGGTTGTATTCATAGAAAACTCATGTTCCTGGTGCCAGAAACACAATGACCAGAGTTTTGGTCAGTCAACTGATCAACTGATTGCAGTTGTGTTTGGCTCCTGGTTATCACTGCAAACCACATATTAACAGAAATTTTGGCTATTGTTTACCTCTATCATGTTATGAACATTTATGATAACTCTTTTACTATTCAGTATTTTAAAGTTCCAACCTGCGCCAAGCAGAGTCAGTAAGAAAACTGACAGAGTTCAGAAGCATACAAACAATTACTTTTGTGTCTGTTTAGGTATTAATAGCTGAAATTAAGACACAATTAGTATATATCTAAGTAGAATGGGGCAAAATTAATCCAGGTAACATAAAAGACACCATTACCAATGTGCAAGGATGTGTGCTTTAGAAATTAAATCATTTCCTCAGATTGCTGAGCCATAATTAGTTTTGTAAATCCTTTTTTTTTTTTTTTTTTTTAATAACCTAATCTGGGTGAACAATTAAAGTCAGTCATGTTTTCTTCTGGATTTGGTTGCCTTTGTTAGGAATTATAACAAAATGGTGCTTGTGAAAGATAACAGTGCTCCGGAGACTGAAATGAAGTTTCCATAGATAATTGCACATATGTCCACATGGCCTACCAACAATGATGAAATCTGCTGTCTCAAGAGATCATCTTTCAAAGCCTGCCTTCCATTATACTGCTAATGCTGATAAATGTGTCTCTTAGAGGCCAAGTGCCTGTATCTCCATGACAATTCTTGAAAGTGATTCATGCAAAGAAATTGTTCATCGGCTTAGAATTTACTTAACCTTGTCCCTTATTTCAGCACAATACTCACTGAAGTTTTCATTCGAGTTGAAATGCAGTGCTTTAAAATGCCCAACACACACCACAAAAATCAAACTCTCATTTAATACCCTGCTGCTTCCTGAAAAACACAGGTTTTCACATGGGATGGATTTGGATGTAACTGCGGTTTAATGAATTTTTCTTTCCTTTTTCACAAGTTTTCACCAGTCTCGCTTGTGAACCGTTGTCCATCCCAGAAACAGTGATCACAATCTGGTCCGTCCTAATAATAACAGCAGCAGAGACAACAGTAGTGCTTTCTATTTGGAAAGCGAGTTAGGCACTCAGGCTAGTTCACAGTATTGTGAGATCCAGTAATTAAAATCTTCACTTTGCAGGGCAACCATGCATCTTAGCACACATCTTAGTGCTTTCTAGCTGAGGAAGCCTCAGATTTGGGATTACGATGAGCAAATTCATCTGAGTTGTCTTTGTTTCATGATGCTAGAAGGGAGCAAATGTATCATTAACCATAAATGGAACAGAAGGTGCCAACAAATCACAGCACCTTTTCATTTGAGTCATTCTTATTTTCCACAAAATTTGCTCAGTATTTGAGAAAAACTAAACATTGTGCTGGCACTCTTGCATCACTGAACACTTGCACTGGCACACTGATTTTTTTTTCCCCCCTCTTTAACTCTCGTCAAGCTGCTTTGCCAATTTAACCAGGACCAAGCCGTGAAATGTGTCAACTGTGTGGTTTGTGCAGCTCTGTCTGTGTGTTGTTTGCATACCTAACAGATACAGCTTAGATGGCGGGGAGGTGAAGATTTTGGAAGGTGAGCAACTGATTGTGCTTCTAATATAATCTTGGGGGGGTGTGTGATTATTCTTGGCAGGAGGACAGCGCTGATTTGAAGTGCCAGCTCCAGTTTGCCAAAGAGGAGGCAGCACTGATGCGTAAGAAGATGGCCAAACTAGGGAGGGAGAAGGATGAATTGGAGCAGGAGCTTCAGAAGTATAAGTCCATCTATGGAGACGTGGACAGTCCCCTTCCTACGGGGGAGGCAGGGGGCCCACCCAGCACCAGGGAGGCTGAGCTGAAGCTTCGTTTGAAGCTGGTGGAGGAGGAAGCGAACATACTGGGCAGAAAAATAGTGGAACTGGAGGTGGAAAACAGGGGGATTAAAGCTGAGATGGAGGATATGAGGTGCCAGTATGAAAAAGAGTGTCTCAGCAGGGACCACATTTCAAGCATTCCTACCTCGCCCTATGGCGACTCTGTGGAGTCAGCCACGGAGCTGCGCCGGCACCTGCAGTTTGTGGAAGAGGAAGCAGAACTGCTGAGGCGGTCAATCTCCGAAATCGAGGATCACAACAAGCAGTTAACAAACGAGCTGAATAAATTCAAGTTTGAGCCAGGACAGGAGCCAAGCTGGTTGGATGACGCAGCATCCAAGTGCGGTGGCGCCTTGCAGGAGGAACTGAAGTCGGCCAGGTGTCAAATCAACGAGCTGAGTGGGAAAGTGATGAAGCTCCAGTATGAGAACAGGGTCCTGATGTCCAATGTACAGCGTTACGACCTTGCCTCTCACCTGGGCCTGCGCACTTCCAGCCCCAGGGACAGTGATGCTGACAGCGATGCCGGGAAGAAGGAGAGTGACAGTGAAGAGGGTCGCCCACCCCAGCCAAAGAGAGAAGGTCCCATTGGGGGCGAGAGTGACTCTGAAGAAGTTTACGAGAAGACGTCGGGTTTTGGGAGCGGGAAGCCATCCGAAGTCAGTGACCTGTGCTCCACTGAGCTCATGAGGGTGAAAGAGGACACCGAGTCTTTAATTAACATCAAACGCGAGGCTGAGCGGCTTGAAAGGACCGTGGACCGCCTTATCACTGATACGGACAGCTTGATTTATGATGCGAAGGTGCATGTAACCAGCAGCCCATCCACTGAGCAGGATTTCAAAGGTGGTGAGGAAAGGGGAGAAGATAAGCACCAACCGGAGCTTCTGGACACCATCAACTCCAGGATGAAAGCTTTCCGGAAGGAGCTGCAGACCTTCCTAGAGAAGGTTGATCACATTGGGGAAGGCCTTAAAGAGCAGATGGAGGACCTCTCCCCTCTTCCGCATCTCACAGAGTCTTCCAGTTTTCTGTCCACAATGACGTCCATGTCTCGAGACTCTCCCATTGGTAACTTGGGGAAGGAGTTAATCACCGACTTCCAGGTAGGCCAGCCCCTTGTTTGCCTTCTTTCTGTTTATAGTTTCTTTTTCTTGCTGCCATCGCTACCCTAGAGCTAATTTTCCTCACAGCTGCTTTGTTATGATTTCAGACCTGTGATGTATTAAAGTGTGTAATGTTAAACAAACACTTTATAGGTTTGTTTTTTTCTTTTGTTTGTTTGCACAACTCCTTTGATTCAGAGGCGGTTCCTCATGGCAAAAAGGCTAATCCACTGGTGCTATAGAGATCTGTCTTCTTTTTGTCTGTAACAGCAGTGTTTCCCAGGAAAGAGGAGATTAATTAAAAAAAAAAATATAATTCTGATGAATGTAAATTAGCAGCCTTGCTAAGAAATGTGAGGAGGTCTTTATTATGCTCTCTCGTAAAAGGGACAGGCGTGTTCTCAAAAGCCTTGCCAAAAGAACCCAACCAAATGCAGTTTTCTAAGTGATGTGTTTTGAAAAGCCTGCTTACAGCTCACTCCCCTAACCGAGCAGCGAGTGAGAAGCTCTGTAGCCAGCGAAGGACTGCCTTGCCTAAAGCGTTGCCCATGGGCGCATGTCTAAACTGCCACAACTGCCACACTGGATATGGCTTTTCTGCACAGCACAAGTAAGGAAGGAAGAGCCTTGTGTCCCGTATCCTTCATGACTTGTATGCTTGCTGTTGGTTTGACTCATGCATCCTCATTGCATGCGCCTCATAACCAGTGTTTGCGTTCTTTTTTCCTCTCTTTCTCTTTTTTGCTTTTCAGATGTTTCAGCCCATCATTTTGCTCATCCTCATTTTGGTTTTGTTCTCTTCACTTTCTTATGCCACTGTATTTAAGTTGGTTTTTCTGTTCACGCTTTTCTTTGTCTTGTAGTTTTTCAGTCGTCTACCTTACCCATTTTTGTTTTCTTTATTCCCTCCTGTCCTTTTGTTTTTTCGTTATAAACCGCCCATGCACCTAACAGTCCAAACTGAGGGATCAGATGGAGTGGCAGCTCAAACAAGATCGTGGAGAGGAGCGAGAGATTCACCACCAGCGAGCCACCACCGACCCACACCGCAGAGCTGATGGAGACATTAAACTCTACAGGCCAGGAGACAAGGGCTGTTTCAGTCTAGAGGTCAGCAAAGCAGCCCGTCTTAGTCACTGCCTCCTGCAGCCTTAGCCAGGAGATGAGTAACAGAAGCCAGGGGTTGGGGGAGTAAATTGGACCAAACACAGCACCCCTGTTGTGAAATTTGAGGTTGACCTCTTTTCCCCCTTGCAGTTTCAGGGAAGCAAATTGGTCTTGACTTTGGACTCATTGCCCTACTTTCAGTAGCTTTGCTAAGTGGGAAAATATGGCTCAGGGACCCACTACAATTGAGTATAGTAATGAAAGATCTCTGGAAGAGGTTGTAACCCCTGGTGTGAGATCATGCTTCCAGGTTCACCTTGTTGGGTGTTTTAAATCTGGAAATTCTACAGATAGAAACCACTTTGCGTTTTGCCTGGCAGTAGTCTGCACAGGAGAGGGTTTGATGCTGGTGTGTGTAGTAATTCTCAACAGGGAACACAGCACCCTGCAGCCTCCAAAAAAAAAACTTATTTAGAGCAGAATTCTCCATTGTTTGGGTTGTTGAGTACTTTTCCATTTGTCAAAAACATCAATCAGTTTTTATTTGAATCTTCATCCATGCAGAGGCCATATCAGCCTCAATAAACATTTCCTTAGCTGCTTTCGCATGAACATAGGTTGTCCAAACTCTACAACTGGTCCTGAAGAAAACAATTTCTAAAATGTCTCCAAAAAGGCAAGCTTGGAGCATTGAAAAACTTTTCTGCTGGCCACTGGGAAGCCAAATTCCCCTTGAAACTGTGGTGGTTAGAGTAGCTTCTAGTGAGGGATGGGTTTTAATATGCTTCTAAAGACACATGCAGAAGCCTTATTATATCTGAAACCCCTGGCTGAGTCTGGGAAATGGAGAATGCTGTCTGGGACAGGTGGGTTTGTGAGGAAGCCATAACAAGCACGAGAAAGCAGGGGCAGGAAGAGAAGGCTTCAGGGCGGCTGGTAGCCATGCTGTATTGAGTATCAAAGGGAGAGTGGCCCTTCATCTTAACACAGGTAATTCTTTGCTGGTTTTGTTTTGTCTGTTTTAAACTATCCTGACAGTGCAGAGTTTTGGCGGTATTAGAATAATGAATTTGTTCGGCAGCTCCTCTTCCAACTTTTCACTTTTCCCAGTGATAATAAACGTCAGGAAGGATATCTAATAAACCCAGGACACCGTAAGTCTCTCACTGAAAGGTAAAGTCTTTCTTCCTCAGCTGTGAGCAGATGATGAGGTAGAGAAAGCTTGCCATTGAGCAATTTGCAATTGTATTGGTCAATACTTATGGTAGATTAGGTCAGAAAATGACCGCAGCAAAACTTTACAATATTTCTGTTTAAACTCTGTGATCTTTATTAATTCCTGTATTGTATTGACTTCTGGATTCGTGAGCCCTCTTAAGATTAGGGATTTGGGTAATTTAGGCACAACACCTTTTTTAACTCCCCCAGGATAGGATAGTGTGTAAACTGTGTACAGCAAACTGTGTTTAAACAGAGGATGGATAGTTTTCACACCAACACTTAACAAGGAACAAGCCAGTAATTATAATCAAAGGTAGAGAATATCCAGCTGAGGCTGGGGCTCAAATGGCCCAACCTGAGAAAATGTTAAAGACTAAGGTGTTTGTTTCAGTCAAGTTTACTGAAGCAACAAAGTATTACACTGCTTTACACTGAAACTTTTCAGTGGGTGGACAAGCCAATTGAAATCTTTTAATTTGTAATAGTCAAACTCAAGTGAAGCAGAAGATTCCCCCAAATAATTTTGTATGGTATCATTTTCAGTCTTTTTTAATTTCATACACTGCACTCAAAAAACTAACTTTGTGTGTGGGTGTGTGCCAGATGAATAAACAGAAAAAGAAAATATTCAAACACCAAAAAGGTTTTCTAATACAACAGAAATTTCACATGGAGACTCAAACTTTTTAATGGCTACACATAAGCCATTATCTGCTTTAACTTATGAAGTGAAAATACACACACTGGCCAGTGGATAACACTGATTGATGATCTTCCTACTGTGTATGGACTTCAGCATAAGAAGAACACATTGCATTTCAGGGAGGCAAATGTTTTCTTTTTAAGCCAGAAAACCCACCTTTTTAAATTCATTGTTTCCAAGCTGAATTTTAAACAAAAATTTTCCCAAGCAATGCTGAGCAGCTTTCATTTAGCCATTTTGCCTGTCTTTAAAAATGAGCATCGTGGGAGCCTAATTGTTTGATTAAATACAATAAATGCAGACTGACTTGTGCTTGAAACTACCCCGTAGCCTAACTGTAAACATCTGCCTTTGTTTGGGCTTTGCACTGCAGTTGTTAGTGCAACGGTATTATTAGAATGTATTTGCATGTTAAAGAGGTGGGTTAGAGTCACAGTCCAAGGGAAATTATATCTTGAAATTGCCTTAAGAGCAGGGCTTTGTTTTCTTGCTGAAACAAACCATTCAGCTGCTGTTGCAGGAGGTTGGAGCCCATTGAGGTGGATGTTCGATCCATTATTCATGATTCTAGCAGAGCTTGGTTATGGTGGGAGGGGGAAATCATTCTTTACCATCCAAAGAAAAAGTGAGTGAACAAGTGAGAATTGCCCTGAGTAAAAGACACAGAGGAACTAAAAAAGGTAACATAATGCTTCATGGCGCAAACGCCTGGTACAAATCAAAGGATTACTATGGCAACAAATGGAAACCAGTGGGAAAAATGGTAAATAATTTTTCATCTGGTGAATTTTACCCTTTTTACCTATGGAATATCCATAAACCAAAGGTAGCTTTCTTAAGCAGTCTCCTTCTGTTTAATCAGAAACAAGAAGATATTCTAGAGAAGAAAAAATTCACTCTTTCAAATGACCAAATATAGTTTGTTGCAGTATTTGATACCAATGGAGCTGTGCCTTGTAGCTCTGATTGTTCCTTCAAAGGGTATCAACTCTGCCCTTGAGGAAATATATATCACCAAAGACAAAAGCACTCATCTTTGCACTTCAGATTTGGTTACTGTGTTTATTTTCCTACATGGCTTTTAAAAACTTACACATTTGTTTCTGTGTAGAAAAATGCCACAAAATCTCTGACACTCGTGGGTTATAGAAAAATCACTGAGATGAACTAACTTGAAAGGAACAAGTTGTCACCAGAGAATTAATATAAAAGCAGATAGGCTAGAGAAGGTGAGAGTGTGTCTTAAAACCCAAGTTTTCACAAGGTCTAGTAATAAGTAGGGAGAGCTCACAGTGAGGAATAATTTCTTCTGGCCCATTCTTAATCTGTTTAACCATTTTTCTTACTTATGATGCCCGTAAGAAATATAAAACATCTCTATTACTGTAAAGTAATGCCTGGGTTAAGTGTGGACCAACCAAATACAGTGATGTGCAAGTTAGGTAAGTCACTTTATCACCTGCTTTGAATCAAATCTGCTGTATGGATCCCTTTTGGACATAAGAGGAGAATTTCGGTCTATATTTTGAATGTTCTATTTTTAGCTGGTTATGGTGTGTCTGTGCTCCTTTTGTGCAATTTTCGTAATCCCACGTGAGAGCTTTCCAGCTGGATGGCTTTTCCAGCAGCTCCCATCCATGTGCTGAAAATTTACACATCTTTTTCTCTTGCCTTGACTTAAGATTTTGTTTTCCCAGAAAGGAAACAGTGAATGTTTTATACATTGTGACTTTTCTTTCTTCTGAAAAAAAAAACCTCAGCAATTGTGGACTGCATAGGAAGTTATATCGCTTAATGTCCACTATTCCTCCAATGCGAAGTTGTGGGAAGAAGAAAGACAGACTGGTGCTGACAGTATTCCTTCCCACCAAGATTAGGGGCAGCAAGAATAATTTACTTTGATGAATTGTAGTCTTTCTTGCTATGCAAGATTCTATAAAGGTTGGCAATATAATGGCTTAAAAGACCCTTTATGATGTAAATCTTGATATCCCAGTCCTAACTGAACTCGGTGAGACTTTGTATACTATCTATACAATGAGATGGATTTTTAAAGGCTTGGAGCAGTTTTCTGTGTTTTCCCAAAATCAGAGACTCTCCGTATAAGCACAGACAAATAACCATACAACTGCCTATTGTACCCTAGCAAATGGAATATACATCATTTATTTTTAAGGGGGAGAAGAGAAGAGAACAACTTCAGAAGCAGCCTCTGAGAATTCAGTTAGATGTGTATTGCATGTTAAAAGTAATACAAAAGGCACCAGAGGTTCCTCTCTGGTCTGGTTGATTGTATGCATGCAATGGTCAGCCGTCACGTGTGAAAAAGGAGCAGTTATTAGACTGTGTGGTCAAATGTAAGGTCCAAAGGTCAAAACATTATAACATAGCATTCGATGAGCAGCGTAAAATGTTCATATTTTGGCTTCCTTGGAATTGCATGCAAATTCTGAAGAGCATCTTCCTACCCTGTCTCCTCGGGCCTTATTTTATTCCATCCCTCCTGAAAGAAAAGAAGACTAAAAAGAAAGACTCCATGAAATTTGATGTTCACGGTTGTTGCATATAAACCGATTAAGTTTGCGGGCAAATTGAGGTTGCAATTAGCTATGGTAAAATGCAGAAAACAGACAAGTAAAACCCAGTACCGTGCACCCTCATGGTGCATGGCAATCATGTGAAAACAAGTCATGGCAGAAATGCAGGATTGTGTGAGCTGGAAAGTAACCTTCAAAGTAAGCCTTCAACACACTGAGAGGGGCAGAAAGGGGTCAGTGCAATGAGGGAGCGGTGGCGAAGCCCCCAAAGTGTGGATGACTTTTCTCTGCATCTCCTCTTGAGGTAAAGACATCGGCGTGGATTAGCTTGTTCTGGAGGGATAACAGGTGAGAGAAAAGGACTCAGCAGAAGGATTTGGCGCTGCCTGTCCAAGAGGACAGAGGTGGAAGTGGGTCTGGAAATGCAATATTTGGGATTTGTAGGAAACTGTCAGTCAGTGTCAAGCTGCGGATGAAGTGTAGCTGGTTCTGTGGTAGTGTGATGGAGTAGCACTAGCTTGTAGTTCCCGTCATAGTGTGTTTGTATGTCTTGTTGTAGTGAGTTTGTGTCTGTTTCTGTGGTGTCGGTCTGTTGTGTGGTGGCCGTCACACTCGGGGTGTTATCCGTTCCTCGTGTAGTGTGTTTGTTAATGAGAACAAAGGAAACAAAGAATGGAAGCTAACAGTTTATCAACTTTTGTGTCCATTTTGTAGCAGTGTTGTTTTCCAAAACAAAACAAAACCACAGTTGTGCCACAGACCACACCCCACCATTTATATGCTAGGGGTCTGATTTCCACATATAAACATATAAACGTCCATCAATGCAATATCAGATACCTGAACTGCACATACAAATATCACATGATACATTTCTACATATTCTTCATTCACGATCCAGATGTTTAGCAGCAATCTATTAGGCGCTTAAGCAGCCTTATCTCCCTTGATTTGAGCAGTATGAATCCCAATGCTTCTGCTAGAACTGACATTGCATGAAATTATAGACTATGAAGAGTCCTCAGGTTGCACTGGAAGGAAAAAGATGTGCAACTCTGCATTCATGCATTAACTGCTTTGCAACACATTTACTGCTTATAAAAATCTATCATCCATAAAGAGGCAAAGCAATTGTAAAAAGATTGGCACTGTCTAGTGTGCATGTAATAGTCTATCTGCCTTTATGGTGTACTTAATCTCTTGTTACTAATTCCAATGGTTATCACATAATTCCAGCACCCAAGTTTCCTGAAACTTGACTTTGCATGGGCTACACGTTTATCAAATAATGCATGAGTTAAGAATTTTCTTGCCCTAATTTTGCAGATATAAGGTGTTGTCAGTATATACATAACTATGTGATTCCAATTAATACTAGTCTGAAGTAGAACAAATTACCTTTAGCAAATCATTGTTCATTGGAAAACACTAGTGTGAAGTGGAGAGTGAAAAATTCAAACCTGACCTTCCTGGTAACTTTTGCTGCTCTGATTCGGCTTCCAGTTTCAGGAATCCCAAGACCAACAATATTTCTAACTATCTTAATGGGTAATTGTATGATTTTAAGGAGAGGTATATTAAGATCAGTGATTATTGCAAACAGAAGAGCTTTGCCATGTTGTATCTGTTTTCACCAGATCAACTTTGCATGATTTTGCCTGATTCATAAAAAGAAGGAACACTTTTTTTTTTTTAAATTACACCTGAATTAACTAGGTACATTGGTTCTTATTTCCCATATTCCTAAAGAAGACTGATCAGAATAAAATAATGCAGGAATTTCTGATGAAAGTAATTTTTCTTTTATTGGATGAGAAAATTAAACCGATGATTTACAAATGATTGTGCAAAACTGGCAAATCCCATTGCAAGCAGTTCTTTCCAAATTATTGGAGAGACCGAATGTCTTCAGACACGTTAAGGTGTAAGATGAAATCAATAAGGCAGATAATGTTCTCTTGGTCACTTTACGTGTACCTTTCAGAGGGCTGGAAGTGTCTTTTCCTCAGGTACAAAACAGACATGCACAAGTCAATAAGGGAATCAAATAAAGAAGGATCTGACAGGCCCCAGAAAGTGTATGTAGGGTGACTTTAGTTTTTCAGCGGAGTATGGTCCTGCAGGTGGTTTGTGGGGTACTTCTCTTTGCCTTATCTTCTTTTTCCCTAGAGGAGGAGAGGAGCATCTGTTCCAAGTGACAAATACTTTTTGAATAACCCAAAGTGTCCCAGCAAGGGCTGCTGCGACCCAAACAGTGGCAGCAGCTGGTTTTGCCCTCAGGAAGCAGGAGGAGTGTTCAGGGAGAGGAGATGGTGCCGGGGCTGATGCCGGAGAGGAAATGGCAACGCAGCCCCCGAGAGCGGTCCCACGACCTGCATTACGTCTTTGCAGCTGCTGAGGCTGGAGCACCCTGGATGTCAGCCAGTAGAGAATTTGGGATTACACTTTGAGTCACTCTGAAACAATCCCTTCTTTAAATGCATCTTTACTCTGAGAAGAAGGAGTTTGGTGCCATAGTGTTTTCTGTGGTCACATGTGTGAAGAGGATGGCATCTGGCCGAGCATCACCTTCGTACAGACAAATCAGTTTTAGCTCCGATGTGAGAGACACAAAATTGAAGGGCATAGAAAATTCTGATCAGAAATATAAGTGCCACAAGATTAATTAACATAGTATAAATAATGAGGTCTGAGTCTCCCTTCTTGGGTCTTTATTTTTGATTTAAGTAACTTTCAGAAGTAAAGTGGATGGGTTGCCAAACTTAACGAGAACATAACATTGAAAGTATTGAGATTAAAACAGTGTTGGACCTGAAAGGGGAGATATTTAAGCATTTTAGTCAGAACTCAGGCCCATACAGCTTGTCACTGGGGCGTTTGTGGAGTAATTATTTCGAGTAGAAATCACAGAATGAAGCCAACTTGTGCAGAGAGCTGTCCTGTATCTGAAGAAAGGGACCTTACATGCTTAGTTGGTTTAATAAATGCTATCCCATTAACTGCCTAATCAGAATTGTTGCAAATGAATAAATAATTACATTCAATAAATGTGCATTAGATGAATCTTCTGCAGAGATGTTAAAATTTTATAGCTTTCATTATCATAAAGAAATACGCCAGCAAACACGTAATCCTGTAAATAGGAGCTCATCTGGCAAATGTCATTGATGGTGCGCTGTCTCAGCTACTCAAGTGCAAACCCAGAGCAGAGTCCTGAAGGGAATATCCAACAAGTAAAATCAGCATCCCAGCTTTAGTTTTCAGAAGAAGCCACACAGGAAATTCCCACACATACTTAGGGCATTGCTATTTATTTGCACACTGTGCTTTGGTTTTAACTATTGATAACCGTGAGTTGTGCAGATGTCTGTCCTGCAGTTCTTTTCTTTTTTTTTCCTTTTTTTACACCATGGAGACACGTTTTCTGCTAAATTTATCCCTTTGTCCTGCTGATCAGCTCAGGGATTCCCATGTTTTACCTGTACAGAATGTATCGATACAGGAGCTTCAGGCTCAGCTTGAGCAGGAGACGAGACTTCACCGAGAGGAGCAAGAAAAGTTTGCAGAAAGGATCATCCAGGTAAATACAAAACCCACCTGCTGGGAGAGACGCATGACCATGACGTGTGGCGTGGACCTTGTTTATGAGGACCATGGGAACTTATGTCCTGATGGCTGTGCCTGTTTGACCTCATCTGAGTAAATGAAGAATCTGGAAGTTGGGGAAATGTAAACTCAAGCCCATTTTGCCACTTTGAATCTGGCTGCTCTGCTTGGTGAAGAGAAGTTTTGTCCTCCCCTGTGTGGGGGAAGTCAGGGTAGAGACATGAAATACTGCATGGGAAATTATATCAGCCCCTTCAGCTCTCCGTGAGCTGGGGAAGGGCGTGTTTGATCTCCAGGAGAACAGTTTGGCTCCATGCCTTAATGTGACCTCTCCTAGCCTAAAGCAAATCCAGCACTTCTCTGAAGTTGGAGGAGTTGTTACATGCTCATAACTGAGACACAAATCAGGAATTTTTTTATTTCTCAGTACCCCATGCTTCCAACCCTCTTATGAAAACTGGTGAATAAATCATATTTTGTTACATGGGGTCCCCCTGCTCTTTTGAAGGCTGGAACAGATTAGTCAATCGTTTTGCGATCTGTAGCTTCTAGAGCGAAAAAAGTCTGTTGCTAATTTTTGCAGGCTGTTTGGCTCTTAACTGAAGTTTTCTTTTTAAATTTACTTCATGGACTAAATTCAGTGTAATTGTTGCATAGCGTAAAGCATTTCTCTTTGTGCCAGCTAATCTCATTATGCCCAAGTGGTATCTCTCTGTTTTTTCATAAGTAGCTTTAATTTTCAGTTGATCTCCATAGGAGCTTTCTCATGGAGGCTTTTGAAGGCAACCAGTAAATTGATTTCCTTCCTAGTTTGCCTTGGCCATGAAAGCTTTTTGGAAGCTATGCTTGCCTCTTAAAGTTCTTTTATTTTGCAATAGCTATCCATGGAAAAAGTATGATACTCTATGAAGCTACCTCCACTGGGGTCTTCTGCAAGAATTTGTGACCATGGGGACTTAGATCATAACAGCTTGTAAAAACAATGAAAAATGCAGCAAAATCAAAGCTAGCTATTCATGTTGACAGACAGTAGAAATAGAAGAATAAAAGCATCTTCTGGATTCTTCATTTTTTCCAGATTATGCCCATCCTGTTGATATTGTTCCTTTTTTATCATCTTCCAGGATTTCTGGTGGAAATGACTCAGATCTTTGCTGTATTTAACCATAACTTCATTTGGTGGAAGAACCTGCATCAACACAAAATCTATTTGTTTCTTCCTGTAAAAATTCATTTTAAAATAAACCCCTTTTTTACTATTTCATTTTTAGCAATATTTAATGACATCAAATTGATGTGTGTCAGCAGCGTACAATCTCCATGAGTGTTACTCAGAGTTGCATGTATGTTTCTTGGGCCATTATAGCTAATTTTGTTCCAGACTACTTTTAAGCTGCATTTAAAACCCATTTAAGCTAGCAAGTACTGTAAATAATCTTAATTTAATCAGGAACTTTTTAAGGCATAGTAGCGCAGATGCTGAAAATTTGCATTTTGCCAGAGCACATAATTTAAAGGGCAGGAAGGTCCTTAGTAAACCACCTAGTATGGGCCAGTAGCCTGTGTTAGAAGCATCTGAATGTTGAAAATCAAGCATATATTTCTTAGCAGTATTAGTTGCTAGGGAGTCCACGCTCCTGACAAAGAATCTCTGAAGTGCTCTTCATTCTTGTGTGAATGTTGTTTGTTGCAGGGTATGTTCTTAGGGTTTAAATCATTGTGGTCATTAGTGTACTGTGGCTTTCATAGATTTCATCTATGGAGCTGGTCAGCAAAGGGAGATGCTGTTGCTTAGCAGAATGGAAAATGGTAGAAACTGGCATCTGTAAGCAGTGGCTTCGTACTCATTTTCCATCTGCCTTTTCTTGATCAATGTGAACCACAGCTTGGTTGAAGTGGAAACATTATCTCATCCATACAGAATATGAGATGTTGTACAACCAACTTGTACAAGTGCTGTTGGGCGCAGGTCATGCCATGGTTTGATTTTGACATATTGAGGGAGAAGTCACGTTTAAAGAATAATGTTTCAGGTGGCCTTGTGTTGAATCAGGTGTAATTATATGTGTGCTCCAAAGAATGAGCTTTTCTTGGTGCTTCTATTACTGAAATTGAGACATGTTGAATGCAGAGTTGCAATATATTCCTGTCTTTTCGGTTACTCTGTGTGTCCCTGATCTAGTCATATCAGAATGAGAAACAATTGACTGTGAGTTGTTCAGATGCCTCCAAGTATGAACTGTGAGAAGTGAAGGCCCAGTGGTTTTATCTGAGATACTGGATGTGGTTCCTTCAGAAGCTTTGCACTTCCAGAAGCAGAGGGAGGCGTAGCCACAGAGGAAAGGATGAGCCTGTGGCTGGGGAGGGAAGAGGCAAGGATAATATTCCAGGTTTTCTAAAGGGCAACTGTGGTCCCACCTTGTAGGAATGGCTGCAAATGCATTTAGCAGGTGTGATATGTGCAGCAGTGTGGGGTGGTGGCTGTGCTGGGAACATACGGCAGGGATACAGTCAAGAGAGGGAGGAAAATATGAGTGGTGTAAAATGTTTAAGCAGCAGCAGAGGTCTCGTGCATCTTTAAAGTAAATGTCCACTTCCACAGCAGGTTACTTGGATATGGTTATCTAAGCAAAGCTTATCAGCTGCTGTCTTCTAATTTCCTCAACAGTCATAACTGCTGAGGAACTTACTGAGTCAAACTCAGTAGCTACTCACTACTGATGAAAATTAGAGATTTCAGTTTGTCTCACCCAACGAAGTACAAGTCCTGGAGAGCATCCCAGGACACCACCCCATTGACATGGTGTCTGTTGTTCCATTAAAGCTGGAGGAGGAGCATATGCAGACCCTGCGGAGGAAAGACTTGGAAGTGCAGAGCTTGACTTTGCAGAACAAACTAGAAGAGAAGACCTGGAGCCAGGAGAAAAGTCTGCTGCAGCAAGAACTCAGGCATTTCAAGCAGGACACCTTTCTCCTGTATGTCAAACTGAAGTGGCTGCTGAAACATTGGCGGCAAGGCAAGCGAATGGAAGAGGAAGGGGAAGACATGTTAGAGGTAATTGTCCCACCTTGTTAACTCAATAAAGTTGCAAGCAGTGGGGTACCGGGATGTCCCTTCTTTAATTGTAGGGTTTAACTATGATGTGGCATCAGCAACTTTATCATTACACATAGATTTAAGGGGGATTCATATTAAACGTGAAGCCTTTTCTTCTTAGCTTGTGCTAAAGTATATTCTGCACGATATGTTATACATCACTCATCTTTAAATCTATACCCTTAACTGGTACAAACATCTGGTCCTGCAAAACTCTCTCATAGTAAATGAAAATTTAATTAGTTCTCAAAGACATGACTCCTGAATAATTTTTTGGAAAGAAAAAAGACGTTAGTGAGCTGATGGAGTCAAATCTGTTTAGAAGTGTTGAGTGCTGTCATTTCTCTCATCGTGTGCACAGTGTGTTCCTCACAAAGCCTTTAGCAATACAGATGGAGGGAAGCACTGTTTTCATGTTGGCAGGAGAATTATACAGCTTCTTGTGGGAACTTACAGTGAATCATTCTTGTTTGTTCCTCTTCTCCATACACACGTCTATCACCGTTAGCAGCAGTACACCAGTAGTCATCATGGTGATTTTCCAAGTAGCGACTAAATTAAGATCAGGAATTTCAGAAGTACATAACAACCTGGAATCCTCAAGCTGACACATCTCAGCAGGGTTGTGATTGCCAGTCAACATGCACTGTGGAGAAGGGTGCTGCTAATTTGTGTTGAGTTGCGCATCCAGAGTTACCATTTGCTTTGGAAATCTTACCTAAAGAAAAAAATTAAGTTAAAAAAAAGTGTTTACCCATTCTGACATTTTATACAAAATTCTTGAGAATAATGGATTTCTTTTGCAGGTTTGTGCAATTCTGAAACCATTTGCTAAGGCAACTAAGTAATTTTTCTCAGTATTTCTGATACTTACGTGCCTAGTGTTTTTCAGCGTTTGCTGCATTTGGCAGTACAAGTAACCTTTCAGGTCTGGTAGGAGTATGCTTAAGTTGAATACTCCAATGTTTTGTATTCTTAGATAAAGGGTAGATGAACATCTTTACCTTCATCTGCTGTGGTAATATGAGTCAGAAACAAGAGATGAGTAGCTATTTAGAAATAATTTTCTTCTACTTTACTTCAGCAGTACTAATTTGCTTCTGTGTAAACTAGCTCATCTTCTAATACCAAAATGGCTTTTATTTTTTCACTGTTTGGATTGTTTGACTGGTTAATTTATAATCAGTCCACCTCCAGTCATTATTGGAGTCATGTGTTTTGCTACCACATTAGAGAGAATAAAGTGCTAGATTTGGGTATTTCTTGATCGTGTATCTTCATCAGACAATACACCAGTGTCTTGTATAGTTTTTCATTAGTGCATGATGGATTATATCCATCACGCTACATTACACCCATCTTCTCAGCTGCATAGATCTCCTGTTTTGCAGGCCTGCAGCGCATTGTGTTCATATACGCAAGATGTCATATATCACCCCAAGATCATTTCCTGGAGCCTACAGAATAGAAGTCAATATATCCCACTACAGTGAGGCATGGGAAGATAGTCCCTTCCCTTAGCCCTTCGACAGATTTCTGTCTCCTGAGGTAAATGACAAAAGAGTGTTGATGTGTCCCATCTTTTGCATTTTAGGTTGAGCACCCTGAAGCTCTCCCGGACTTTGGCATTCAGTCTGAGCAGAAGGTGGATGATGCAGAACGAGAGGAGGAGGAAGAGGATGTTGTGTTTGCACTAACAGATTTTTCCCAGCGTCCCACCACGGAGAGCACTGATCATGGACCACAACTGCAGACTGCAGAACTACTGCAGCAGCAGAAGCAGGTACTATCCCATTTGTATATCTTGCCCTGGGAATGGAAACTGGATTTTCCAAGCGAGTTCATTTTCTTCTGCTGCTGGGTTAAATCACCTAGAATCATACTTGTAAAAATACTTCTAGCTACACAGCAATTACAGTGGATTTCATCCATTATATTTATATTTAATCGGGAGCCACGTGATTACTGTTCTCCTGTTGGCAGATGCTATCAGTGAAAAATCCTATTTCCTCTTGTGGCTGTTTGCCCAGAAACATCTATCAGTATGTGATGGTTTGCAGAATTTACATGCTCCTCTTGCCTGAGCACATCTATTGTATTCTACTTTCAAGCTTTTAGCAAGAAGAGGTGATTTTATTTCCTTTAAATAATGTAAGAAACTAGCACATGTATTTAATATTTCCCTTGGAGATGACGGGAAAACAATGCAAAAGTTCCTTCCTGTCATTGGGCTTGTTTTTAAATGCCTAAAAGCAAATCGTGCTAACTATTCCCTGACATCTCCTGTGCCCTGCCTGTGTGTGTGTCAGAGCACTGCCATACATCCTACCTTTTTCATTTGTGCACTTAGTATACCAGCAGCCCTAACAATAATAACAGCAAACATTCAAAGGTGGCAGACTTAAGGCTTCCAATAGTTCTTCAGGAGTATCTTCTTATATTTTTTAAATGGAAAATATTCAGATGAGAGCATCCTGTTACACAGAATTATTTGCAATCATAAGTAGAACGGAGCAAGAATTCTGTGTAAAATATATTCAGTGAAAAACGTCTTGAAGCTTTATGCCTTATGCCCCATTTCTATCCAAGCCCGTGACTTGGGACCCCGCTCCACAGCGAGAGCTCTCACACAAATCTCTCTGTGACCTCTTTACTCTACTGGACTCGTTGCTCTTGGGATTGTGTGTGTCTGCATTTCAGTTCTTCACCTTGAATTCCCAGACTCTCACAACTATGTACAACCTGTTTGCTTACTAACTATATGGTCTAACAGATATGCAGCAGACAGCAGTAACTCTCTACCCTACAATGAGGTTAACCTGGTGCTGGCAGATGCACGGGCTGTCTTGCAACCTACCTCTCTAGTTCAAGGTGTAACTTCAGTTAGAATTTCTGTTTGAATAAAAATAGCAGAGATCTGTGGTCTTTATGCTACTTCATATTCTGCTTTAAGTTTATAGACAATTTTGCTCTCCATTTTCATAGTGCTAGCTGACAACTCCATTCTCTAGCTATTATTTTCTGTGAAGTGTGCTGCCAAGGTAGTATGCATTTGATCAGTTTGGCATTTGGAAAGGTTCTGCCTTGCTAGTGACCCAGACCCATCACTGCCATCCTCTCAGCAAGCTCTTCTCTGGTAGAGGCTGGAAAAAGCCATGGAAGAGATGCTCCTGAGCACGTCATTTAACTGCATTCCACCTGTAGATTGATTTAAACTAGAACGAGTAAAAGAAATATAAACCAACATGTTATCTCAGTACAAACTCTGTCATTTACTAACTTTCCATATAGATCTCTTAAAACAACCAAGAACATTCAAATAAATTATGTCCTCTCTGAAATAATTATTGCTTAGGCATTAATCTCAATTAAGGTGGCAGAAATGGGAAGCAGGATTGCTTATAATTCATTTTTATATACATTGCAAGATGTTCGAATGTGGCAGTTCCAGCTAATCTTGCTTAAAGAAATGATCCATAGGAACAGACCACATCTCAGTACCCCTCTTGATAGTGAATAGTGCATGATATCCAAATGGTCTTGTGAAGGTAAAATAGGTTTCTTGCCTTCCAACCTGGAAAAGAAGTGTTATTTCAGCACTACAAGAATGAGTAAGTTTGCTAAATATTTCTCATTTTAAGCACTATTACTCGCTTTGCCCGCTCACGCTAGTGAATCTTATAACAAGCACTGTGCTTATTGAGAGGAATGTAAAAACGGTTTTCAGTGCTACAGGGCTTATATTTGTCAATGGCAAGAAAGGATTATGATTATTCTCTGGCACAGAAATAGGAAGCCCTAGTGTAGGCTAATTCTGTTGCTGTCACAGATTTAGCGCATCAGAAGTGTCTTCTGGAGGAGCGTGATGGAGGAGTAGCTGCCTGCACCCTCAAAGGCTCTGCCAGAACCTTGCTCTGCCCTCACACACCTTAGTATCAGTTGGGCCTGAATTGTCCGTCTCACTATGGTGGACAGCTTGGCCCTGCAAACCTACTGCATGCAGGATCTTCGCTATGCTCACCAACCTCACAGACCCTGGTCCTTGCACACATTACAGACTTTCACCCATAAACATGAGCTCCACATAATTCATATATGATCCCAAAACACATTAACTAAACAAAAATAGAGCAAGAAAACCCTTTGCCTTGGTTGCCCAGGTTTTAAAAGCTCCGAGAGTGAGGACGTCCTTCCCGAAGGGGTGGATCTCAGCAGTGCTCATCTCCCAGTATACCACTGACTAGTCAGGCTGCGCTGAAAAACACCCAGAGTTTTGGGGGTCTTCTGCAGGTTCCTTAAACCCACAGCTGGAAAAAAAAGTACTGTTTACATGGGGAATTGGGGGTAAGCGGTGAAGCTGGAAGTCTCCAAAGTTTTCACCTGCCTAGGAGAGCCCTAAGTTGCTGGTTCTGCCTGGCGAGCTCCAAGATGAAGTGCAGCAGCACTTGTTTCACATTAGGAAGGAAATTTTGCAATAGTCTAGGAGTGGCTGAGATAACTAGGTCAGAAAAAAGAAAGGGCTTACGGTAACTTGAAGTAACCCATATTTATTTTTAACATTTAATGTTAATATTTAATGGCTTGTATTTTCAGCCTGCACTCTCACTGCTGACTTTCTCACCCTGCCTGGAAAGTGGCATTGTTTTGAGAAAAATGATAAACCCTGAGGCCTTAATTTCAACAAGCAGCCTTTAATTTTATATTATTATGATTTGACTTGGTGGAAAGTACACGTCTCACTTGTCTGGGATTTTTATGTGGCCAGTGTGTGGAGGGATGAAGGCATAGCTGAGGGGAAAGGGGAGAAAAAAAGTGAGTCAATGAGAGGCAGAGTAGATGGCGACTCTGAGAAGGACTTAATTTCTCTTGATGGCATTGTCCCATGGCTGGTAGCTGGGTCACACTGCAGAAAGGGTCAGGCAAGGAACTCGCAAGGCTCAGGAGCCAAGCTGGAAGTCTGGTCATGGGCAGGAGATAAGCAGGCAAGTCGGGCTGGTGGCACGGAAGAGGAGGGCTTGCTCTAAGTCAGCGTTTCTATGTGTGTAGTAAGAGATCAGGGAGAATAGCCCATGGAAAACGGAGGCGCTTTGGATTCAGTTGAGTAGAAAGGGTGACATGCCTTTTGGATGGTTAAAATTAGGGGAGTAAGGAGAAAAGAGTTTAGAAATCTGTGGTCCAATGGAAAAAGCATTAAAAAACAAGACACTCATGTTGTTGCTTGGGGAGGGGAGTGGTGGTGTCAAGAAAATCCCCAATTAGATCTTTATTTGCTCATACAATATTTGTTTTCAAAGCTTAGCTAAGAGAAAACCCCAAAGGAATAGTAATTAAGACCTAAATAAGGATTTGCACCAAGATCCAGCTTCACTTTTGCCGAGATCTGCGAGGCCCCTGACCTGGTGTTTTTAATTGACTGCTCTACTAAACTGTTTGTAATACCAGACTGGCTAAATTCTTAAGTGAAATTCTGAGAAAAAAAGAATTGTGATTAAAAGCAGAATCAAACTTCAAACAACTGCTCTGGTCCCAAACTTTTCTAGAGGTGAAGGCTCCCATCTCTGGGGTTCACTCAACTTAGTAAAGATGCCAAAGTCGTGGAATTTAATTGAGGTTTACTACATTAAGTTTTTACTTATTGTTAGCTGTTGTTTCCTTTACCTATAAATCCTGAGCTGTGAATACAACAAGACTTTAAACCGCTTTTGTAATTCTCTTGTCTTAGATCAACTGTGGATCAGTCAGATTGCTTCATGCTCTAAATTTTGGTAACTAGCAAGGCACTAAGGAGCCAGCTCCTTGCATGGGAGACTGTCCAGGGAATCACAGCCATGTCTCGTTTCTTCTGCCTGTACAACAGCCCTGGGAGGAAGGGGAAGACCATAACAATCCTTATGTATCTATGGGACTTATTCTTATGCAGAAGCTGTTTGGCAGTTTTACCAACAGAAATCTAAAGCATTTCTAGATGTAAATGTTGTATTTCAGAGCACATTTTCTCAAAAGTACTTTGTCTGTTCTCCAAAAGCACTCCAGTTTGGCAAAACAGAAAACATAATCTCACAGACCTCTCCAACTTCAGACTGTAAATACAAAGTCATGCAAAAGAGACTTCTCTGCAGGAATTAAAAGTATGTAACCAAAATTGGATTTATATTGGCAAGTTAATTAAAATCCCAGCAAGCCCAGGGGGCACCTGGGGTACTTGTCTCATAACAGTGACATTGATGTAATGCCTCTAGAAATAAGACATGCCCTCATCCCAGTAGGCGACAAACCTGCAATGAAGCTCTTTTGGCTCCTCTCTGTACTCGTCCATCACTTCTTTCTTTGCAAGCCTGCTTTTACAGGACTCTAAATCTATGCACAGGAATGAGGGATGTAGCTTGCTTTAGTGTTATTTGGGTTTGTTTTTCTTCTGCCTCATTTCCCTCGTGGAGCCTTTAGACTACTTTGCCGGAGAAAGGTTTATGCAGCATACCCGAAAACACAGAACATGGCTCTTGAATGAAAGCACTTCATAGACATTTGGGGTCAGGGTTTTCAAAGAGGATGAGGCCAGATGTGCTCAATACCCACCAGCTCCTGTTGTGACACCAAGGACAAATCTTCAAAAGATCTCTTATTCTAATTACTACACAAGGGGCTTGAGATGTTTGGAGAATTTAGCCTTAATTGGGTATCAGAACGAAAATTAATGGTGGAAACACAAAATCTCATTACATATTGAAAAGCAGGTGATCTTACATGCATGATGGAGACTGCTGCTGTATAGTAGGAAACTGCTAATTGGCATTAAATGTTAATGGAATTAATTCTGCTTCTGTGGGTGCATTTCTTATAAAACCCCATGTTGTACACCATCACATTTCATTAGCCCAAACAGATTATAGGTCAGTCAATGAGCACCTGCAGTCATTTCCCTGCATCTAGCATATTTTTGCTGATGAATCAAATGGCTTGGAAAAAGTAGACCACATTTGTTTGGTTTTTTTAAAGAAAAAAGGCAACACGGCATGTCTGATTAGTGATTACAAAAGTGGGTAAGGTGGGTTCAGTGATGCCAAAAATCGGATGAGCATATGAAATCCGCTTAGTTGTCTGCATAAAATTTTATATGTATTGTCATTGAAAAAAGTGCATGAAAATTATTTCAATTTTTGTGTACATCTGTTTACTTTACTTGTCTACAAAGAAGTCCCCATGTAGGTACTTCATGAAACACCAGATAAGAGGAACTGCAGGAAGCCTTCACTTGGAAAAATAAATAAAAAATAAAATCAATTAGACTATCATGCAAATATCGAGACACCTAATTTGAGTTAAGCCTTCCCAAGGAAGGTAACGCATTCATGAGAACCAGGTGATTAAATGCTGAATTTTTTGAGTAAGCCTTCCCATTTTTCTGCTCATGCTGTGTCTGCTAATTAAGTATGATTTTCTTAAAAATCTTTTCTATTCACAACAACTTGTCAGATACAATCTCTGGCTTCTCCCTGTCTTTGAGAGGCTCATTGGGAATATTTGATTTAAATTTTGGATAAATAAATCATATTACACATTTCTGTTTTCAAATTCAATGAGTGCAAAAAATGATGGGATACCCTTTGTTTTACTGATCCAGAGTGAATCTTTAAAAAAGGTTTTTCAATATTTAACATAAAAATTACAGGTTTTGCAAGCTTCCGGAGAATTTGTGGAAATTAAATGCCAAAACTAAGAAAAAAAATATTGATATTTGAATAAGTGTACATGCGGTCTTACAGTACTTGCCAAGATCACATGTCAGCTCTGGGCTAGACTTTTAATTTAAGTCCATTCTCGGATCCTGGCTAGCACAAGTGCACAGGCAACATTTTTTCAATATGACGATGACATTCTCAACAAGACGCGGATGGGGTTTTGCTCTTTGATCCCATCTGCAAGAGGGAAGGTGGCCTACCTGGCATTTGTGCCTTTGGTACCAAACAGGGCACTGCTGCAAAGGTAACCAGTCTGCAGCTGCCTGGGACTGAGCAGAAAGGTGATGTACAGCCCAGTGAAACACCTCAGCAGAGATACTCAGCTCAAAACCTCCCTTGTTTTCCCAAAGCAATTTTATCTGATAACACTAAAGCATTGGAAATTAATCCCTTTTCTTTATATGCAGTTTACAAATATTTGAGGTTTGATGCTGAGCAATGACTGTATGTATGAAACATCCAACTACCCAACAAACCTCAGGAATGATACCCTAGCTTTGGTTTACAGTATTAAAAAAGAAGTTATTACAGATGTCCTCAATCCAGAAAGATGCTTAGTGCCTTTTTCAGGGTGACTTAAGTATCTTTGGCTTTCATGGATGCTTCAGGACTAGGGCTACCAAGAAGGAGAATCATAGAATCTCAGAATCATAGAATCATTTAGGTTGGAAAAGACCCTTAAGATCATAGAGTGAAACCATTAACTTAACACTGCCAATTCCACCACTAAATCATGTCCCTAAGTGCCACGTCTTCATGTCTTTTAAATACTTTTAGGGATAATGACTCAACCACTCCCCTGGGCAGGCTGTAGACAGACCAGGCATTGCTATTCTTAGTTTCCTCATGCAAAAGTTTGCTCAGGCACTTTCCCTTCCTTGCAGTGGACATGCAGGAATTTTTCCGCCTAAAAATGAAACTGGAGGCTAAAGCCATCCAATGACAGCATTTTGTTTGCTTTGTTGTGGCAGGCAAGTGAAAATCGGAAGCTCCTGAATGCTCTGAAGGGTTTGCTGGATGACTTCCGCTCGGAGCTGCGGGACGAGGAGCGTGAGCGCCAGGGGCTGCAGCAGCAGTACGCCCTGCACAAGGCAGCCTGGGAGGTGGAAATGACTGAACTGAAGTGTCACCTCGAACAGGTAACGTCCCTCTCGTCCAGGACCAGTAAAAATGGCTGACATGCTTAATGAAATGGGAAATCTATGACAGCCAGGAAAGGGGCTATATTTATTCATTTTACCCTGCTGCCTGGAAGCCCACCTGAAGTCTGAGCAATGCTTTGTCTCTTGAGTCGCCTCTTGGATTCCAGTTGTCCCAGTACGAGTGCTCATGTATTAGGTACTGCGTAACATAGGTGAGGACAAAGGAGCCAAACCTCTTCTTGCTGTATTTTCTCAGAAGAGTTGGCTGGTAATGTATCAGCTGCAGCAATGAGACATGCGGGTGTCTGTAGTTATTGGCATTTGTAGGAGAGAAAAATGTCTTGATGTTGGCATGCTCACCATTAGCTCGTCACTGTGCCTTGGTACATAACAACTGCGGTACTTGATGCACAGGGGAGAAAAGAGTGATTTAGTAATGCTGAAGTGATTGATCAAAATGTTAATATTAAAACAGCTATTCAAGGCTAGTGGTTAGTGATGGATGGTACCCCACTGAAGAGAGAGCTCTAGCTACCCACCACAGGATACCATTAGAAGTATGTATATAAAATCTGGTGGCAGGTGCTTCCGTGTCATGTACTGCAGTTCACAGAAGATGTACTGTTTCTGAAGCAATACAAAAACAAATCAGCAAAAAACCCACAAGGATTAATTTCCAAAGCTCATGGCATAAAAGCTCTAATTTTCCGCATTGAAGAGGGGAGGTGTGGGAGAATTAGTATGTTCAGGTCTTGAGAAAAAGATTGGTAATTGTAGAGCTTCTCTACAGAAGACAAATATAATAAAAATATTCACTGCCAGGAGGGTGGTACATTTAGGAGGATTTACTGATCCTGGGAGACTCATTCTGATGCACAGAGCTGAGATGTGAGCTCTGCTTTTCCTGCCCAGGTACTGTAGGCTGCTTTCCCAGAATGAAGGAAGAAGCTTTTACTTTAGCAGAGTTTTCTCTCAATGGATTCAGATTCTTAGTTCAGCTGCTGCTTAGTGCACACACATTTCCAGACAATGGATCACTTGAAAAAGGAAACCAAATCAATTCCTATTTTCATTCCTACCAAAACAAAACCTCGGTGACAGATTTACCTTAAACTCGAGATGGCAACAAAGAACAAAACTTAGAGAAAGTTAGTCTGGTGACAAACTGCCAATTTAGAGCTCGCATGCTTTGCATTTGCATGGGCAATAAACTCACAGGCTGGTGGTGTTTGGCACCAGGACGGTGCTGCCAGTCCTGGCCAGGGAGAAGAAAGATTTGCACCCTTCCTTCTGGGGGCCTTATCAAGGTCTTTGCTACCTCCACTGCTCCACTGGTAATAATATATAACATACGGTAATTCCTGAGCCATGGGTGTTCCTTTTTACATTTTTTCAAGCAAATGAAAAGAATGAAACTGGTCAATATTTAAGACATAAAACACAACATTTCTATGTCACAGCCAAAACAGGTCCCTAATGCAGTAGCAAAAAGACAGCACATCAATCATTAGGATGTCAATTAGGATAGCGTAAACAATGTAAGTGTCCCACTGAGGTCTGGTGTACGTGCTCACAATTACAAGGAGGGAATAAAAAAATGAAATATAAAAATAATACTATAGTAAGCCTGAAATGGAAATAATATCAATGTAAATTTAACTCAAAGTAATGTTAAAGATTCAAAATATGGGGTGTTTTCACTATAGGTTCGATTTCTGGATCAAAATGGGAGGAGCTAGTGAATGACACGTGAAATATCAGCATTACATATAGTCATGTTAATATCCTTTGCTGTTCTATGCCCAACATATGGCATAACAATAACTTTAAATAAATAGCCAAGTCTGTCAGGTTGGCGTGGGTAGGAGGACCTCTCATGCTGTTGTCTTGATTGGTAGTGATGAAGCAGTGGGCTATACAGCGCTCTCACCATAGGTTTTGTATGGGCCTGCCAACCCCCTGACAAGTTCACAGGGAATCAAGGTCTTTCTAGTTTCCACTGTTGTCTTCACTGCTGCTGTTTCCCACTTTTTTTCTGAAGCTTTAGGTCAATTAACAAGAGCATTTTCCCCAAGAGAGTCAACTCCTAATTAATAGTCACTGGCAATGGTTTTGCATTTTGATGCTTCAACTCTCTGTATAGGAAAGAATGAAAAAAAAGGAAAGAAAACTCTTTTGATACAAAAGCACTGCATATCAGAGGTGACAACGTACTGTTGCCTGCTGCTTTGGAGCTTTAGCACTGCATATATCATTAAAAATAAAAGTCTTGGCTGTCAGAAATGCATGCACATCTTATTTGGCAGAAGGACCCTTAGGCATTGTTTTTAAGATAAGAAATAATGAGATTGCTCCCAAGTATGGGATTGCGATAATGCTGAGCCAATAAGGAGTCCTAGTAATTCTCAGCCTCCAGCTGGGCAAGTGAAAAATCCTGGTATTCTGGGAACCAGGAACTGATAAAACTGTAGAAGGAGGAGGGAGTCAGTATGAGGGACCAAACCCTGCATGTACTTTGAGAACTTGGATGTAAGGACATGTACCCTCACTAGGACTTTCACCAATGGTCCAGCTTCAGGATGCCTGGGGGGGAATATAAGCTATGGTGCACACGAAGAGGTAACTGGCCACCCTTAACAGTTGGCAGGTTTAGGAAAGTCACATCTAGACTGTCACACTAAGGACCCACCAATGGACTTTTCCTCCGTGATTGGAGCTGTTTCTTCAAAGCAGAGGCAGAAGGACTCCCTTCATGCCAAGAGCATTGTTCTGCTTTCCATAGAATCATAGAATGGTTTGGGTTGGAAAGGACCTGAAAGATCATCTATTTCCAACACCCCTGCCCTGGGCAGGGACACATTCTACTAGACCAGGTTGCTCAAAGTCCCATCCAACCTGGCCTTAAACAGTTCCAGGGATGGCACATCCACAACTTATCTGAGGCACCAAGAACTGTCTTTTGAGTCTAAAGACACCACGTCTGACTGTAGGTTTTAGGTCCCAAATCACTGAACACCAGGAAATTATTCTGAAGGTGTATGACTCTATACTTGCCTTGGTTTTGAACTCATCTTTGTACTTATAGACTTCCTGTATTCTTCTCAAATGGGGCAAGAGCCAGGGCTCTGCTCTGGGTGAACCCATGGTCCAGCACAGGATGACTTACTGTATTTTGGCAGCTTGGACATGGCACTCTTAACAGCAGCCATACATTCTTGGGATATCGCTCTTCTGGAGCATGTTCTTACTCCCCACTGCCTTTCTCAGCTTTCTTGCTCTTTGCAGTCATGACCGCCTGTCTTGTTTGCTAACTGAAAGGCTGAGAATTTTCCCAGTGGTGGTGAAGAACCCAGTGGCGTAAGGGGACAGAGAGAATGAGACTTGTTGAGGTTCAACATTTTGCTATTTTTTTGAGATTCAAAAAAAATGGAAGAAGGAATTTGCTTTATAGGATAACTATACAAACTATATTTACTGCAACTGAGCATTTGTTTGCTTTATAGGTTGCTTTTAGCGTTTCATGCTTCATACCAGGTAAAGAATTTATCGCAGGCATTGGCATGGTTTTGCGCCTTAGCATGCTAGCCATAGCTACCATGAGGCTTTATTCCCCAGGAGGCAGCAGAGTTGTAAGGTTGAGTCTGTGCTCCAGCCTCGTTGGAATTGCCCCAGACGCTCCAGCAACCTCTCCTAAGAGCTCCTATTGCAAGATGAGAAGTCTCGGGGTGCATCAAAGGTCCTTGAAAGATGACTTACACACATCACAAAGAACAAGTCCTAAATAGCCCTCTGTCAGGCTTAGGTGTAAGGAAACTGTATAGAGTTTACTTCATTAGTCCCTTATTATTTTGGCTGACCTGAGCTCTGCAGTGACGATTCTGAAATTCACGATTATTTGGTGTCACGGCTATTTAGTAAACCCAGCAGGAACTTGCAAGAGCAACCTGGGGTGAGTGGCACAGAATAGTAAAATTAAAGGAAATGAATCTAAAAGAATTGCTGACCCTGGCTGTAGCACCAACTTTGACTCCTGCAGCACCATGAAATGGAGCTGGAGACTTGTGGGTGGACAGAGGAAAGCTGTACCAAGGGGTAATAGGCCATTACCTGAAGTTAGCAGTGAGTTTGGAAACTAGCAGTGATATTTTTACATAGTGCTGAACTAACATGTGGGCAGTCCACATACTGGGGTAGTGGGTAGGAAGGCAGCAAAGCTATCTGGCTTCTTGAGGAGCCACACTGCCCAGGATGGTGTCTCCCATCACAGATCTACAGCACAGAGGTGTGTCTCCTGGGATGTTCTGCGTTTCTGCCCCACAGCACCTCTTGTCCACCACCAAGCCACGCACTGCGTGCAGGACAGCCTCTCATACATCGCTGCAGCTCCCACAAATTTTACACTGCACAAATAGGATAAGTGTGAGAAAGACAGTGTCCTGTCATCTTTGTTAAAATAGGATGCTGCTTTTTTATAATTGATTTTTTTTTTTTTTGGTTGTTTAGTTGGTTGGTCGTTTGAAAACAACTGGGCTTTGGAAATTAGTGGTAGAGGACACAGGTGTTTTAAGATTTCACTGTCAATGCAAGTGGCTGTAACAGGATATGCTCTGCAGCTCCGTACAATTTTAAGTGACTCAAGCAATGACCTCTTGGCCATTTATTTGCAGAGGCTGTTCCAGAGACTAGTAAGCTTCACTCCTGAATCGAATCTGAACTTCCCTTTGCTCAGAAAGTTTGTGCTTATTTTCCACATAGGGCAAGGTGAAGGTGTTGTCCTTCTGTCTTGCTAAAGGAGCATGTTTCCAAGCAGACCTGCTGCCTCTCCTTTTTGAGGAAAACTTTTAACTTCAGAGGCGGAAATGAGTTTTCTCTGCTTTTCACTCCAGTTCACCAGCAGAGCCAGGGGACGGAGATGTATCCCATTCTGAGTCGCTCACACATCTACTGTGTTTCTGACAAACAGTAAGGCTTGAGGGATAAATTCTCCACTCGCTTGAACAAAAGCCATTGACCACCTTTTTTACTCGCATAAGAGTCCAGCAGTGGCCCAGGTTGGCCAGAGAGGTTGTTTAATCCCTGCCCTTGGAGGTTTGTCAGGATCCAATTGAACAAAGTCCTGCACAACCTGATCTGATCTCAGAGCCAACCCTCCTGGAAGCAGGGGGTTGTACTAGAGGCCTCCTGACACCCCATCGAGCCTGCATAGCAATCTCTCACCTTGGGCCAGCTCTTCTGCTCTGATCAAGCTGGGCCCTGAGCATGAAGTGAAGGAGAAGGGAGGGGAGGTAGCATCAGCTAACTGCCCTAGAAATCAGTTCAGACACCAGAGCCTGCAGAGATGGGGGGGATGATCTTCATACATCTCCTGCTGCTAACACCCTCTTTTGTTGGAAGGTGTGAGGAGCTGTACAATAAGACTATTGCTGAGGGTTGCTTTGGGAGAAGTCTCTTCAGAAGATGGACGTACTCTCTTTAGGTTTCAGGTGCACTGAGAGCACAAAAGCAGAGCAGTGGCTGAGGACATTGTCCTGGTGATTGTCTCAGAAATGATGATGAGGATGGAGTTTATCTCCACGTTTCCTTCATTGCTGGTACCCACACTCCCATCAGAAAGATCATAACTAATGCCTTAATAGCATGAGCTGGTAGAGCTTGAGAAATTATTCACTATGGTTTTCACTGTCTTGATTTTAAAACTTTTTTCAAGTTGAACATATTTGATCATTTATTGATATCCTAAGATCTAAAAATTGTTATAATTTTGCCATTAGCTTTGTGGCGTTAGGTCTTTAACTCAAATTCGTTGTTAGACACAGGCTTTTACCACAGAAAGTTTAATGTCCTAGTAATGTTTTACTTTAATGCCAGCTGGAAGGGAAGAGTGAGAACACCTCAGGAGAAACAGGCCTCATAGCTGACGAAGGGAGCTTTTAAAAGAGAAAGAGAGGAGCACAAGAAGCTTCTGGCTGAGAGTCATGGTGTAGTGATGGACCTCCGCTGGCAAATCCAGCACAGTGAGAAGAACTGGAACCGGGAAAAGGTGGAGCTCCTGGACAGGCTTGACAGAGACCGGCGAGAATGGGAGCGTCAAAAGAAGGAGCTGCTCAGGCGGATAGAGCAGGTAAGGAGTCATCTTGGGGTGAGCGATGGCTGGCTGCAAGCACGAGGCATCGCACCATTACTACAGTCAGGCCAAGGTCAAGAGACTGTATTAAGAAGCAGCACAGGAACAATTTTGGTTCCTTGGCTACATCATTGTTTCTCATGCTACAAAACAATTTACATACACAAGGGAGTAAAAGGAAAATGCTCATAATCCCTATAAAAGACCACTTACGAGAAACCAACTCCAGGTTAAAGGCCATTTCCTGCCTCATTTCAATTACCCTGGACAGGCATGGTCACATCGATTCACTCTGTTTGAAAGCTTTTGTGCATCTCCTCATGCTTAAACCCATCCCACATGCAGGGTTATTCAAGGTTTGATATACAGCTTCCTGCCAAAAATGTCTGTTCATCTGTGAATTAGCCACCAAAGATGCAGCTGCTGAGACTATTCAGTCTCAACTTATTTTTTTTTTCTCTAGCAAAGGAACCCAGGGGTTAACATGAGGAGCCCTGACTGATAACAAATAAACAGCTATCAATACTAAATATTCAGAAGACACTTCTGACCTTAGTCACATGAATTTTGTGCCCACCTCTGCTATCATCTTCAAATCTGATAACTGCATACCTGTCCCCTTGTTTTTCATGCCTATCCATGCTTTCATCTGCTTAGTATTAGAGACAAATTAGACCTGATGAATTTATTTTCTGGCTGGAAGCCACACAAAAAATAAAAAGCTTAATGAGGGAGTTAATACACCATTTTGACTGAACATTTTTTAGCTCTGAGTCATGCATTCCAGGAAAAGTAAGAAAAACAACTGAGATCGTGGGTCCTCAATTAACTGAATACTTTCTGTTCTTAGGACATCAGAAATGGAACGGCACCAGATTTGTGCATGCTCTCTAGGGAGCACTATGCTTGAATGAAGCACAAAGTAGCTTCACAGGTTAAGTTGATGAAAGCCCGGTGTGACTTCATGACCAGTTCTTGAAAAGGGTTCACTATCTGTGTCTTATGTTCCCATATCCGAGTTGCAAGAAGAAACTAAGGAAAGGACACCAGGCTGTAAATATTATGAATACAAGACTTAAGCTATAGCTCTTAAACCCACAGAGAAGCACTTAGGAAAATCCTGTATTCTATGGATATTTCTAAAATCACCACTGTAAGTGTAGGTCTGAGTGGGCGGTGACCAATACGAAGGTTTTATAGACCAAGAAAAGTGATTTTTGAGCTTTTAAATTAAAAATATCAATAAACAATAATCTGGATTTTTTAATCTCCCATTTATCGGAGGGGTTTTGTGTATATTTCATGCAGCTTCTTGAGCTAGCCCTTATAATGCAGCCCAATAGTATGTCTCCTAAGATAGAACAATCAACACCTATGAGGTGGGAAGGCTTGTAGCAGAGCTCTTCATCCAAATTACCTGGTTTCTAGGGTTCAGTGGCAGAAGGTGCCAAGTTCTTGGCTTGACCGGGCTGGTTTCTGTTGAGTTTCAGTGGCCAAACTGCCTCCTGTGGATTCTTCATGTGCAATGGGAATTAAATAACCCTCAGCAAATTTCCCAATATACTAAGGATGTGGACACACACTTTTCTTCGGAGACTCACTGGTACCTCTTTGTATGTTTATGCTGCTGTCCCTATGAACTGTATTTTTTAGTATTATCTCTTCAGTGTATCCTCAATAGCTTGAGGGACTTAACCTGGTTAAAGACTGCTTTTTCTGTTCATTTCTGCACGTTGAAGGAAGCAACAGAGAAATCGCTGTTAATGTTACCTAGCCTTTAATTCTCTTTAAACCTGACATAACCCCTGAGTGTCATCTTGGGAGAGCCTACAGAATAGCTCTTAACTAGTCCTGGAGCTGACTTCTTTTGTTAATACTCTAAAACATCTAAGCTTCAACTATATATTTACTGTACAGTAGAGTTGTACAAAAAATTAGCAATAGCTAGGGGAAATAAAAAATATTATACCAAGTTAATTTCAGAAGACTAGATGATCAGAAATAAGATTTGAAATCTTGGCTACCTGCCTGCAAAACTTCATAACTCCATCTTTGCTTATAATCAAACATTTCCCTATGTGACAGGAAGCATCCAAATATTTGCAGGCTTTTACTTGAATATCCTCTCAGATTGCAGTCATGCCCGGCTTTATATGGAAACAATTAGTATATCTCTGAAGTCCTTCTCCCAGGAGTTTTTCTGTGTGTATTCCATGTATGGCAATACGTAGAAGATGAGGAGACTACACCAGTGTGTATGTTTGAAAAACAGAGTCTAAGAGATAGCAGAAGTGTGTGTGCCAAATTTCGTACTAATGTTTTATGCCTGTCTGCTTTCACACAGCTCCTGAATAATACATGTATGATAAGGGGGAAGCTCACACCAATGCATAAAATATATAAAATACTTTACTCTGGATGGTTATGGGAATACTGCTCGCATATAAAAAACATGATGACCTACTTTTTTCAGAGCTCAAAGTCGTGTATTTTTTCTATTTAAGTACACTGTCACTTTGTTTTCCCTTAGAGAATCTCCCTCCACGGTGCTTCTTACTAAGGCTAATTGTGCACAGAGTGCACTGGCAAATATTTAAACCCACAAAATCACCCATATGAAAAGTTGTGTGTTTAAAGGTATAAACACACAGGTACTCAAAATCATTAGTCAGTCTTGAAAATTTAGGTCAGTATTTCTCACTTTAATTCTCCTGTCCGCTGTCTGAGATTCAGAGAGTGACCCAGTATCTGTACTGTTTTCTCATAAAGGTTCCCAGATCATTATCCTTATATGATCTCTGAAAATCTGGAAGGGGTTGCAATTGGAACTATGTGTACAGAAAACATGTGATTACCATTTCTCCTTGCTTTGGGTCTTGCTTATATGCTGGGGAATGGACTCCAGGATCTCTTAAAGTGTACTTTCCAGCCCCTATCTTTATAGGGTACCTTAAATTAGCTCCTTTTAATAAAACTGTTTCAGATTTTGTATATCATGAGCAAAACACTGAAAATGCATTCCCTTTTTGTAGACCTGAATCAAGCAAAAAGCTCAATGATTTCAGCCCAAGTGCAAATTTAATCATCTGAGACCTAAAATGTTTTGATCCACATTAGGCAATACAATGTCTGTTTATTTTTCCAAACATATGCAACAAGATTAAAATAATACGTTTTGTAGGTCCTCAGTCTCCAGGGTCCTAGGGAATGACTTGCATTTACAGGTTATTGTCACTAATCTTAGCGCTCTGCTCGAGCAAAACTTCAGAGTTACTTATCAGATTCCCGCTGTCATTTATCATGTTTGAAAATATCACTTACTTCATTTATCCTGTTGTATTTGCAATTTAAGGAGAAGTCGATCACATACTCTAATTTTAAGATTGGCAATTTCGCTAGTGGTCCACCTTCTGTTCACCCAGCTTTTGCAAAGTGTAGTGCTTTGATGGCCCTTCTATGAATATGCATTTTCTTCAAACATGCTTTGCATGCCTAATTCATCCCTTTGACAATCCTGTTCTGTACAAATAGTACACTTTCTAGCCATGCATTAGGGTTAGACCATCTATAAAACAAAGCTTTTGTCTTTTGTTAAGAGGAATTTTCCACCTCTGGAAACAAGTGATGTATATAAAAAGTGTGACCTTTGTATTGCTGACCAGACGAAAAATGTATTTGTTTTGATAAGGCTCCAAGTCACTTGAGCTTCTACTTGTTTTGCTTTAGGAACTTATATTAAGATTGCTCTTCAATAGCTGTCAGTGTTGATTTGTTTCCTTAAAACTCAGATTACAGACAGTTGCATTGTTTCGTGTATACATAGACACACTGTGTATATATGTATATATGAAAACAAGCAAAACTATGCATATGCACATTTCATCAAAGTCCCATGAGTACCATCAAAGTCCTAGGGACATCTCCCTTTGCAGAAGGACCAGTGCAGCAAAGCCAGCATCCCTGGAGCCAGGCAGTGATCTTGTGGTGCCTCCCCAGGGCATGGGTGCCTTGCTCCTGGGGAAGGATGAGTTCTACAGAATGCCACACACTACATAAGTAATTGCTGTTCCTTTTCATTTGCCTTGTCTCCAGCTTCAGAAGGAAGTGAGCCCGCGAAGAGGAGGTGGTTTTCTGTGTGACCAGAAGGAGAGTAACCTTCGTCCATTTACGACCCAGGGGAACCTTCACGTGCCTCGTCCGATGGGGTCAAGATCCTACTCTGATTCAGATGCCATTCAGTTTGATGATCGGTCACTGTCTAAGCTGAAAGAGAGCGATCGGTGCAGCGCCACGGAAAACCTCTTTCTGGAGTCACTGTCTCTTGATTCCCCTGATGAGTCTGATGAGCACCGGTCTCGGCAGACGGAGCGGGAGAAATTCTTGACGGGATTAACAGAAGTATGCACTTTTCTACCTTTCATCAAGCCAGCATGTTGTCTCTTATGTCAGAATTGGTACCACATCCCTGCTGTAGGAAATGACATATTGTGTCACAGGCATTGCTTACATTACCCAGTAGTGAATTTGGTATGGACAAGATTTCGTTCTGTGTTATGAGCTGATTAGACCAGTGTCAATCACCTGAGAAACCAGGAGCCAGCCTAAAGGCCTGAAGATTACCTCCCCTTGTGGCCATTCATATTATGTATGATAACTATATCTGACACAACATACAGGTTTAGAAGGTCTTAAGTCTCTGCCAGTTGTAAGTAGACACATATATATGGAGAAACATGGGCTATATTTTGTTAGTAATGCAGTAAGTGCTGTAGAGAGGCACTTGTGGTTGTTCTGTTTTGGTCGCCTTCTAAATAGATTAGCATAAGTGAGATGAGATGCTATAAAAATAAAGTTATTCTTCATCAGCAAAGCACCTACCCTGAGGTGACCCCATAAAGATGTAAAACACAGTGCTAAGAGATGCCATTGGGCCATAGTGAATGTAGTCTGTGTCCTGCTAAAACCTGCACCACCTGCTGGCTTATTTTCACCAGATCTTCACAGTTTTGTTTGCATTGTTGCTGAATGAAACCCAGGGTCTCCATCCTCATATGCTGGTACAAAGTAGCCTGTGAACTGGCTTACAATATTAGTCATACTGAGAATGTTCACACTAACAACAACTACATATTTTAATGGTTCCTGGTTCCATTACAACTTCTCCTTTATTTTCTATTGTTCCTTGAATGGTTGAGGCTGTTACAGAACAAGAAGTATGCGGAGACTGCCAGAAGTTAAAATTATCAAGCAGGCAGCACGTTGCTTGATGCAAGTTTTGAGTACTTTCTTCTTGCTTGAAAATTCAGATTTGTGCATATGGGTTAGACATTCAGCTTGTACTCTGAGCACGTAAATACCAGTTGGGTACACATATTACAGTGAACAGTCAAAGATGTATCTGTGTACTCTGGCTTGAAAATTTGACCACTCTCAAAAAGAGTTTGTCAACAGGTCAGATCTCAAGCTCCCTGCAGGACCGGGTTCACTGGTGTGCCTTGACTTGAATGTGTGCGCCTGTGAGAATTTGACCCAAGCATTTCTTTGAGACGTGTAACATTGTTACTCAGCTAACGGATTGGGAAATCAAGTTCTTTGAGAGGAAGAAGAGAAAAAAAGAAAAAGAGAGGCAAGAAATGTGACCACGCGTCTTACATTTTAAGTAGCTGTAGCTACCTGTGTGTTCCAGTTAGATTTTCCTCCCTCAATGCCATAAACATACAGCTGGCAGTGTGGGTAGGTCAGATTTATTCTGCAGTAACTCCACTGAAGCCACCAACTTTATTCTAGACTTACACCAGACTGAATGCAAGGAGGATCAGTTTACTGCTATTTTTTCCCCTGACTCCGGTTAAATACCAGAAAGGTATTTGCTGAGTTAAGCGGTGCTCTCTTTGAATAGTCACAATTTGAAATACACTTCTGTGTTGGTATTGTTGTTGATTTCATGAGGTCAAATAAAAGTAATAGGTACTAATACTCTTTTTTTTCCTGGTCATATTTGGCATTCCCTATAGTTTATTAGAAATATAAGCAAACAGTTAAAATAATAGCTGTAGAGCAATTGCTTCAGAAGTACCTATTTAAAAAAACCAACTCATTATGGGAATTGTCACAGGGAAATAATTGCCATAAAAACATCTTAATGCTGTTAGCAAGCTGTAGGTATTCCCCCTATGAAACAAGTAATAGTCTTCCCACGCATTTAATATAGCTAGCTTAATGAGTTTCAACTGGTGCCGTTTGTTGGTTCCTAGAGAACATATAATGAAATCTTATGTCAAAGGACCCCGGTTTATCTCTTATTTCAGCACAGCTTGGTCTCTGGCATCAAGCAGATTACCTCCACAGAACAAATTCACTCACAAATACATGGTCCGAACCAATATAGCGTACACGTGGAAAAAAGCCATTTGCGGCTTACTTCCATTTATGATTGCACGGGACTATAAAATATTCAAGGCTGTTGTCGATTTGGCATGCAGGCTTTCCCTGTGCAGTCTGTTGTCCTGAGGGGATTGCCCATTCTACTGCCTGTGTACCAAGGGAAAGGATATTCCCACTGGCAGTTTAAGATTCCTTATCAGAGGGAAAATCAGCCACATTTTAGAGGCAAACATACCTGGTGCAACTAACTGGAAGTGAGTGACAAAATACTCACTAGCTAATGGCACCAACAGGTTCATAAATAACTTACCCTCTTTTGTTTCTGTTTTTCTTCAGGAGGAAGAAACACACAAAGGAAATCTTCAAAGGTGAGTAAAACTTACAGGGAAAACCCAGCAAATATTCGGCTGCCAGAGCCTATAGCTCTCTGGCTCCCAAACCACAGACCCGGGGCACGGCCATGCCACCTCCTAAGCAGCCTGTGAGCCAGATTAATGGATTTACCCAGGGATTAATTTGTCTCAATATGCTTCTGTTCTACTCTGATTAACTTGGGCCACGTTCAGCTATGGTGCACGAAGAGTAAACTGTATGAAAGTGCACGAAGCTGCAGCTTACATGGAAGGTTACACCTGCCCTAGCGAGTACTGCAGACCTGTAGACATCGATATATAGAGGAAAACATTTGGTGCTGAGGACCTGACATGCCCCTGCACGTCAGGAATATTTTGCTTTGGACTAGCTCTGGTCAGATGCTATGGGTTGAATACCCACCTAACCCTAGAGCGCATTCGTTGTGCTTCTGGAGAGCACCTTCCAGCTCACTCTCATCCCAAAGGAACCCAGCCCATGCTCTCTGAGACTGCCCCCTGATGCAAACCAGAGCATCTGAATAGGAGATCCACTTCAAAACCACACTCCTGATCCCACCTAGCTCCCTAACGCAGAGGCACCCTAACCGCAGCTGGTGTTCTTGATTCAAAACTCACAGTGTGATTTTACTGTATGCTCCAGATCACTGATCTATAAAACACGCTGCTTGCTGAATCCTCACCCAGCTTGAGCTACCTCATTAAGCCAACTCTGGTAACTACGCTCATTTACATTTTTAAGTAGTGCCATTCAGAAAGCTTCTTTTTTTGTTTGATTTTTTTCTTAAAATGAAGCAGCAGGACAACTCGGCTGAACGCTTGTGATTTGTACAAACTAGCGAAATGCGGGAAAGCCAAGAATCCAGCCTTATCACATAGCGATTCCCTTTGGTTGAATTTTAGCGTGAGCTCAACTCACCAAGCCAGTTCAATGTAACAGCATCTAGGCTGGACGTCCCACATCGCTACACACCATCGCTGTGCAGCCTGGGCAAGCTCAGGAGTGGGGGTGGACTTGCTGATTTCCCAGCAAGTCAGAAATACTCCACACTTGCTTTGAAAAGTATGCCTCATATTGTCGCAAATACTCATTTTCTGTGAATGGTATATTTCTGAAATGCATCCTACTGCTCCGTATTTCAGACATTTGCCAAGCAGTAATCCATGAGAAAGAACTAAATTAAACGCCGTTGATAAACCTCTTGGTACTTTTAATGACGCATCAGGAATGCTTGTTTTTCACAGCTATTTTAAAGATAATAAAAGGGAACTTTAATGAAAGAGAGGGCTAACGTGGTTTTATATATAAGCAGGTAGTGAAAGTCAGGTTTCCTGAGTTAGTTTGCTGCTGAAAATAAGTAGCTTTGTAGGAGTTTCCAAGCCTATGAGTGACTCTCTCATGTTCCCCTCTCCAGGGCAATGTCTGTTTCTTCCATGTCAGAATTCCAGCGCCTGATGGATATTTCTCCATTTCTACCAGAAAAAAACTTGCCTTTATCCAGCAGCAAAGACGACATAACCCCTCCCCTGTCTCCTGATGATCTGAAATACATCGAGGAGTTCAACAAAAATTGGGATTACAGTACCACTAGGAACCATGGTGGGGCCACCGAGAAGCCTGCAGAAGGCTGGGCAGAAAGGACAGAAATTGGGAAAGCTGGGAATGATCCTGCTTCAGATCCCTTCCAGGCATCATCATGGTACCTCACCACCAGTGTCACTATGACAACTAACACCATGACCAGCCCGGAGCACTGCCAGAAGCAGCCAACGAGGAGTCACGGAGTAACTGAAAAAATGGGAGTTCGGGTCTTTCACAGCCCACCGGTTGTCCGTAGGTTTGATAACTCAGTGATAGCTGGCAGCGAAGGGAAAAACCAGGTTGAGCCAGACTTCCTATTTTCTGTGACCAAAGCTATGGGGAATGTTGCTGAGACAAAAGGTGCTTCCTCGGATATGTTTGGAAGATGGTCTTGTGACCTGGCCAAACATCATAAGGATTTTCTGGACAGTGGTCTTCATCCCATTGAGCGTCCTATTTGCACTACTGTGGGCTTTGCCTCACCCTTGCACAGCTTGGAGATGTCCAAAAATATGAGTGATGATATGAAGGAGGTTGCTTTCTCTGTCCGAAACGCAATACGCTCTAATTCAACAGAGCCTCAGTTTAAGGACACCGCATGTCAAACCAATGGTATGAGAACAACGGGGACGCAGACCACCCAGACGATCAGTGTTGGCTTGCAGACGGAAACCCTGCGCAATATCACCAGCAGTCCACACAAGTGTCTGACACCAAAGGGGGGGTCCACGCCTGTCTCTTCACCATCCAGAAGCCTAAGAAGCAGGCAAGTGACCCCCGTCATCGAAAAGGTCCAGGCTAAGTTTGAACGCACATGCTGCTCCCCCAAATATGGCTCTCCAAAGTTGCAAAGAAAAATCCTTCCCAAATCAGACCAGCCAAATAACCGGACTTTGCCTGGCACACCTCAGAAAGGATTCAGTGAGTCTGCTTGGGCTAGATCAACTACTACAAGGGAGAGTCCTGTCCACACTACCATCAATGATGGCCTCTCCAGTTTGTTCAACATTATTGACCATAGCCCCATCTTTCATGAGACCTTCCAAAAATGCCCCAGGTCTAGCAGCCGGTCCAGGTCAGCAGAACCCAGAGCAGAACTGGGTCCACTGCAGGAGCCGTGTACAAATGCCCGTGGCAGATCACCCAGTCCTCTCCGGTTGGGGACAGAGTCGCAAAAGGAAGAAGGGACTGAGGTGACAAGTATCAGGCAGGACTTATCTGCTCCTCCAGGGTACACACTTACAGAAAATGCTGCCAGGATCTTGAATAAGAAACTTTTGGAGCATGCCTTAAAGGAAGAGAGAAGGCTACCTTCACACAGCCCACCAAATCTTAGCAATGACAACAGCACAGGAGAAATTGTCAAAGTAGATCCAGGGTCCATAGAGGTAATGAGTTTGTTTGTTTTTCCTCCTATAGCTAAATGCACTCTTCTTTGAACAAATGTGTTATGAGATCTCTTGCAGTCCTAGTGAGTATTTACAATGAATATCCTAGTCCTGTCATGGTACCACCAGCGAGTCCCACTCATGAAACTATTGGATTAGTCACGGAAGAACTTGGTAAAGAATTGAGTTTCTATCCTGACAGCTTATCGGGCTTGAAAGCATCAGAAGAGCTTTATCCTTCACAGGATAAAGATGCCTTTACAGGATAAAAATGGTTCTCCCCTGAAAGACTGGGAGAAGGGTTTTCTGTCACAAAACACACAACACCTTACAGATGCTCTAGGGACTGTAGGACTGTTTGAGTTCTCTTTTAGACTGGGTGGAAAGGTAGACTCTTTCTCCTACATAAGAACAGGTGTTAACAAGTTTGTGTGAAAAATAGCCTTTACAATATCCTGAACCAGAACTTCAGGGCCTTCAGCGTACCTTTTCTGGACATATCTGATTAAGTTTGGTTTGGGTCTGTTAATGTGATTAAATGGCATGATATTTGGTATTGACTGTTGTGGCCTCACAAAAAAAAAAAAAAAGAGAAAGAAAAATTAAAAAAACAACAGAGGCAATCAACTAGTCTAAGCACATACATTCTTAGTGTTTAAGAACTCTTTATTGGTATTTTGCTGTCAACAGCGTAAGCCATCATCTGTCTCAGCAGGTATGCCCAAGTATTGGTGGTCAGATTCTCAGGTACAGTAATGGGCTACAGCAATCAACAAAAAAGAGGGTGTAATGATAGACAAAAGCTTTCAGTTATCAGTGTCTGAGCCTCCTGTTTCTGGTGAACCTTTGTGCCACATGAGAGTGTTGCCCTGAGGAGGCCTGGAGAAGCTGAATTATGCCCAGCACATGTCATCTTTCTGGTACAGCACCGAAATGGCTTGTGCCCTGCTGGCTGCTGATACTCCCCAGGGCAGGAGCCCCTCATCCTTTCTGCTCCTTTAGCATCCTGATGTTTCAGTGGGCCCCAGCCACAGGGCAGCTGCTCCTCCTTGACCCCTACACACCCCAGACATCCCACCTTGGCCTCGCTGGGCTGACTCCTACCACTACTGCCTCAGATAGCCTCAAGGGAAGGTTGAAACCCCATTTTCTAAGTCAACATTTGGCTTGAAGGATTTGTGGGAACCGAAGAGCTGAGACTTTTGGTTTGCAGTTTGCCTTGCAGTAACAGGTGGTTCTCAATGGACATCTCAATGGTTCCTCTTTTGTAGGTATTGCTCAGAGGACATGATCATTTTTGCCTCACAGAGGATCCAAAGCTGAGTATATGTTCCCTACATGCAATTTAAACAGATATAAATAGGGAAGTTTGTACATGTAAAAAAGGAACCACATGCACTTTATAAGTAACAGTGAATGAAAGTGGGCTTTGTGTACAAACCTCGTAGTGAATAAAAGTGGAAAGCAGCCTCATTTATGGGACTATTTCTAGCTATCTCTGTACTTTGTCCTTAGTTTGAAATACTGGGAATGCACTACCGGTCCTTATTAGAAAGTGTGTTGCACTCTTAACAGGTTCAACTCAGCTTTGCCTTCAAGGCATCCCTGGAAACTCTTGATTTTCTCCTGCATCTTTTAAATGTCTCAGCAGAATTCAAATATAAGTAAATGGATGTCATCCCACATCATCACAAATTGCTGTTGGCAAAATACAACTAGCGTCAGTACCGGAGTTTGATGCATGGAGAGATTTGGGTCAGTGCTGTTTAGCAAAAACTCATTGACCATCAACCTGGCAGAAAATTGCTGCTCTTTGTGAATTCTCAGTATCTTTTGCCTAATATTTTGAGTTCCAAGCCTCAGAACTAAGACTTGTTTTTCCTTGCAACTCTTACTCCGTTGTTATGACTGTTGTCTGGATGCACAGGTTATGATCTTCGAGTGGTCCTGTCATTTCTCAGGAATGTGCATTGAAAAGGAAGGTGGTGGGCGTTCACACAATGAGCTTAGCTTTTCCTAGGTGAGATGATGCTCTACAAGATGTACTTAATAGAGCATGGGTTCGCTGCTGAAAACAAAACCACAAAATAAGTTTAGACTCTGCAGATGCCTTGGGTTATTTATGGATTACACTGACCACACAAATTAGGCTTTGCACGTATTCCACTTAGCATATTTTGTACAAAGCCAGATGCAGCAGTTCAGCAAATGATGATCCTGGAGGAGGCAGGCTGTGCTTGGGGCGGCGTCACATCAGCGCTGCCCCTGCCACCCTCCTGTAGGTCCCTGCTCTGCTTCCCCCTCACCTGTTGGTTTCTGGCCAAGACAAGTGACCTTCTTACCACCAAACGCCTTCTTGTTTCTGCAGTCATGGCGTGGTGTATTAATGACTTTTAGACTTGCATGGAGCACCTGTTGGTGCTTTTCTTTAATTTGAGCTTCTGAGTGGTTTTGTTTCATAATTTCCTTTTATATTCCTG